CTCTAGCCCTAAGGGATCTAACACCTTCTGGCCTCCTGGTTACCTATATACATGTGGCATATACTCACACAGTCACATACAATACACAAAAACAAAAAACACTTGGCTGGGTGGTGGTAGCACACGCTTTTAGTCCCAGCACTTGGCAGGCAAAGCCAGGCAGATCTCTGTGAGTTCAAGGCCAACCTGGTCTACAGAGCGAGATCCAGGACAGGCACCAAAACTACACAGAGAAACCCTGTCTCGAAAAACCAAAAATAAATAAATATAAATAAATAACTCTTTAAAAGAAAAGAATTACGATCCTATCTCAAGAGAGTTTTAGTGAATCTTAGTTTTGTTTTCTGAGTATTTCATTACTGCTTTAAAGACCCATGTAAAATGAGGGTGTGTCACCCCTCACACTTTTGTCTTTTTGTTTTCTGTGTCATTAAAGGTTGAACGCAGGACCTTGTGCATGATGGGCAAGTGCTCTACAGCTAAACTACTTAAAATAAATTTTTTTAATATTTCCTAAAAATAAGAACCTCTCATTGATACGTCAGAAATTTCTGTTGGTATTTGTTCTATTTAAAACCCATAGTAGAAGGAATGGCAGATAATTAGAAGACATGATATCTTAGTCTCATCTGATGACTACAACATAATACCTTCGACTGGATAGTTTGTAAGTGAGAAATGTATTGCTCGTAATTCCAGAGGTTGGGAAACCCACAATCCAGAGCCCAGTGGTAGGTAACCGCTGCTTACTGAATGAATCTTCATGTTGTGATAGAGAGAACAGACTCCTTTAGTCCTCTTATAAGATACCACAGGTCTGAGTGTAGCTCAGGGGTAAAGTGTGTATTACACATGCACAAGGCCCTAGGTTCAGTCCTCAACAGCAAAAGATCAATTTAAAAAGGCACAATTCCTGTTAACCCCATTGTGTATCCCTTTGCTTTTGATGCCACTAGACTAGAGACTAGATTTCAACTACAGAATATGCAGGTGACAAACTACAGCACATAGTCTCATTTGAAAACTTAAGAGTAAAAACCTCAAGGGCAGAGTCAGTAGTTTAAATGCAATCAATGAAAAAGGGTAGAAAACATTAAGTATAGAAATAAGCTTGCTTATGATTATGAGGAAATTGTACCGTTTGGTTAATTTTAACCCAAATTAATAACATTTTGTTTCAGGTATCCTGAAGCAGTTTATGTTATATATACTGGAGACATTAATGTCAGTGGTCAGCAGATACTAGAAGGTGCTTTCAGAAGATTTAACATCAAGTTAGTTCACCCAGTGGAGTTTGTTTTCTTAAGGAAACGCTACCTTGTGGAAGATTCTCAGTATCCCCACTTCACTTTGCTAGGCCAAAGTCTTGGATCCATTCTTCTTGGCTGGGAAGCTCTGATGCAGCGTGTTCCTGATGTTTACATCGACTCAATGGGATATGCTTTCACACTCCCTCTGTTTAAATATATAGGGGGTTGCCGAGTTGGAAGCTATGTTCATTATCCCACTATCAGCACTGACATGCTCTCTGTAGTGAAGAATCAAAACACTGGATTTAATAATGCGGCTTTCATTAGCAGAAATGCTTTCCTCAGCAAAGCAAAGCTCATCTACTACCATTTATTTGCTTTTATTTATGGCCTTGTTGGTTCATGCAGTGATGTAGTCATGGTGAATTCTTCTTGGACACTAAACCATATTCTTTCACTGTGGAAAGTTAGGCATTGCACTAATGTTGTTTATCCACCTTGTGATGTGCAGACATTTCTGGACATCCCCTTACATGAGAAAAGGGTGACCCCAGGACACTTTCTGGTTTCCATTGGCCAGTTCAGGCCTGAAAAGAATCACGCTTTGCAGATCAAAGCCTTTGCTAAATTGCTAAGTGAGAAGGCATCTGAGTCACGCCCTTCACTTAAACTTGTCCTTATTGGAGGGTGTCGAAACAAAGAGGATGAGCTTCGAGTAAACAAACTGAGAAAACTCTCTGAGAATTTGGGAGTTCAAGAGAATGTGGAATTTAAAATAAACATCTCATTTGATGAATTGAAGAACTACCTGTCTGAAGCAACAATCGGTCTGCATACCATGTGGAATGAGCATTTTGGGATTGGTGAGTTTTCCTTTCTTTCAAACAAGTTGTTTGATACTGCAAGATATGCATTAAAGTCCTTATCTTAATATCTTTTCTATTGCTGTGACAAACACCATGACCAAGCAACTTATAAAAGAAAAATTGGGAGCTCATGGTTTCAGGATTAGAATCCATATTAGCAGCATAAAGGCATGGTGGCAGAAAACAACTAAAAGCTTACATCTTGATCACAAATTAGAGTCAGAGAGAGATGCACAGAGAATGGTGTGAATCTTTTGAAATGTCAAAGCCCACCCCCAGTGACACACCTCCTCCAACAAGGCCACACCTCCTAATCCTTCTCAAACAGTTCCACCCACTGGGAACCGCATATTCAAATATATGGGCTTATTGAGAACATTCTCCTTCAAACCACCACAGTTCCTTTGATTGTTCTAGAAGCCCCTACTAAGGCCGTAAGTCACTCTAATAAATCCTTTAATATATGTACTTATTCTGTGAGTTCTGTTCCCTTAGACTAATACAGAGTGACACAGGCAGCTGCAGATGTGGCAAAGATGGCCAGGGGAAAGTATGAGAGCAAGAGGAGCCTCGGTAAAGAGCTGAGCAGGAGCAGGTGAGCAGGCAGAAGAGGAGGAAGCTGCAGAGATGGTCATGGACTGTGCTTTGTAAACACAGAACTGGTGGTTAGTGACAAAAAGAAAAGGCTGCACACTGGGGAAAGGAAGAGGCCACCAGTGACCTAGGGAAAGATGAGTGTGGCAAGAGAACAGGAAGCCAGGGTGAAACCGTGAGAGCACACGGAGTCTGAGTACAGACAGCATCATATGAAAGGAAATGGACGAAGAGTGCAACTAGGGAAGGCTGGATAGAGTAACTTATACCTTCATGTACATCGTGTGACAGGCAATAACCAAAACTTACCCAACTCCACCTTGCTGTTGAACACAGGCAGCTGTATGTTTTGTGAGCAGCAGCACACTTTAGTTCTCTAAGGTTGTTTACACTTTCATCCTCTGATGTTATTGAACCTCTTAAAACTTTACTTTTGGTGTTTTCTTTCTATCTTTCTGATACTTGTTCATCTTTTACCATCTTGGCAATATTGTGTGGTCTTCTACTTTGTGTAGTATATTCTTTATTTTTCCTTTGAGACAGGGTCTCACATAGCCCAGCCTGGCCTGAAACTTGCTGTGTAACTAGGGATGACCTTGAACTCTTGATCTTTCTCCATCTACCTCCCAATGGTATATAGGTTTGCACCATCAATGTAGTTTTTGTGTGGTGCTAGGGTTGAAACCCAGGGTTTCATGCATGCTAGGCAAGCATTCTACCCACTGAGCTACAGCCTCAGTCCCAGTGTATTTCTTTATAGAAGATGTCTATAGACTTCCATCTACTTCTCTGTTTTAATCAAGAATGAAGCAGCATTAATTATTATGACACTTTGTAGACTAAAAGACTTAAAGGCCTGGGTGCTGGGAAGGTAGCCCACTGAGTGTACTACTCACTGTGGAAGCATTAGGACCAGGTCAAATCCCTAGCACCCATGGAAAAGGCACTCACTGTGGAAGCATTAGGACCAGGTCAAATCCCCAGCACCCATGGAAAAGGCAGGTGTGGCAGCATGCCTATGATCGCACCACTGGTGGTAGTGCTGGAGAGTCTAGTGCAGTGGGTCTCAGCCTTCCTAATGATGCAACCCTTTAATATAGTTCCTCATGTTATGGTAACCCCCCAACCATAAAATTCTTGTCATTGCTACTTCATAACTGTAATTTTGCTACTGTTAGAAATGGTAAGTATCTATGTTTAACAATGGTCTTAGGTGACCCCTATGATACAGTTGTTCAACCCCCATTCCCCAAAAGAGGTTCAGGGGTTCAACCCACAGGTTGAGAACCGCTGGTCTAGTGGATCTTTATTTAGCTCACTGGCTGGACAATCTAGACAAAACAGTGAGCTCCAAAATCAGGGAGTGTCTGGACAATCAGTGGAGAGCAGTAGAGCAAGCTGAAGTCAACCTCTGACTTGCATGGGTACCTTCACAGGCAAGCACACAAACACAAAACCCTTAAATTGTTTTATTTTGTATCATATTAAATAAGCAAATTTCCAGACTTGCATATATTTAATCAAACGTTCCTGGGTCTCAGAATTTTTTAAAGTTTGTGTTCATCAAAAACTTAAAGGTCTGTATGTTTTTGTTGTTGTTTTCTTTCTCAGGAGTTGTCGAGTGTATGGCAGCTGGCACAATTATCCTTGCACACAATTCAGGAGGCCCAAAGCTTGACATTGTCATTCCTCATGAAGGACAAATAACTGGATTTCTGGCTGAGAGTGAAGAAGACTATGCTGAAACCATGGCTCATATTCTTTCTCTGTCTTCAGAAAAAAGACTTCAAATCAGGAAAACTGCTAGAGCGTCTGTAAGCAGATTTTCTGACCAGGAGTTTGAAGTGTCATTCCTGTCTTCTGTGGAGAAGTTACTTACGTAATGCCAAATCTGTGCACATTCCGGATATTTTCTACAAAGTGGAGCTGGGGTGTGGGTCAGTGGTAGAGCCTGTGCTCGGTGTGTGCAAGGTCCTGCGTTCCATCCCAGCATCCAAAAAGTCAAAGGAAATGCTTCACTTGGAAACACCTTCACATGTAAATATTTTCTGAATTCATTGTCTATCGTAATAAAGGCAGCCTGAGCAATATTGTATATAGACAATGTGTATATAGACAAGGTAGTATTTAACAAAATGGCAAAATTACCTATATGGGAAAAGTAATCTCGTGTACCTTAATGTACAGATTTTACATTAGTATTTGGCCTCAAAATCTGAACAGTACAAATCTCAAAGGAAAAAATTACCAATCAGATTTTTACATACTCGTGTATTTTAACTTTTTTATCTTTTCCTTTTATTTTAATCCTTGAATGTCCCTGCCTCCACCTCCCAGAATGCTATGATCATAGTAATGAATTTAACAAGTCCAGTGTATGCAGTGCTAGGGATGGAACCCAGAGCCCAACGGAGGCTGGACAATTACTCTACCAACTGAGCTGCATTCTAAGCCCCAAATCCTGTTTTCAAATCACTGTACTTTAGAAAACATAAAACTTCCTGGGTTTTTGTTTTATGATGCTGGAGATAGAATGTAGAGCCTCAGAGTGGAAAGCAGGAGCAGGGACATTTGAATTCCTAGCACCACAGAATGCACTGAGCCAACCTCAGCCAAACACTTCCCTCCAGAGGAAAGGGAAGTGCTGAGAGAAACACTTAGCAGATAATCAGCTGGCACTTTAAAATTTAGTCTTATATTTTGGAAAAAACTGTTTGAGGGGTGGGTTTAGAGTTAGAGATTGAACCTAGAGTCATGCTCATGGTACACAAGTGTTCTAACCAGTGAGAGCTTTACCCCAACCTCAGAAGTCCTGGGAAACAACAGCATGAGTAACCTTTTAAGTATACCTAATAATTTTCTTAAAGGAAAAAGAAACTTCAAACAGGCATCTCTAATCCTATTCCAAAGCATCAGTCAAGAGATTGGATGGACTGATTTCTTCATGGGTGTGTACAGATATGTTGAAGTCAAAACACCAGCAGCAATCTTTCCCATAACTAGGTGTGTGTAGAAGTTGGGTTTTGTTTAGAGCCTAACACAGTTTGTTTCTATGGGTTTCTCATCCCTTAACAGCCCCACTGTGAAGAGATTCAAGCTAAGAGAATATCAAGCTAAGTTGCTTTTCTAAAACTGACCTTGTCGTATCATAGTGCGCAAACCGTGTAAAGGATCATGAGATGGCATTTTGAAAAAAGTGCCAGGCGGTAGTTAGCATACTGGGCTGGACCTCACTTCACCATTTACAAATACCTGACTTGCTAACACTAAAGCAATGCCTTAATGTTTTTGATTCTTGGGTGTTTCATCTGAAATCAAGCTGTTAATACCTTTTAGAATTGTGATACAAGATGTGAAGCATATGAAGCTACTCTGAAAATTAAGTATTGCTTTAGTAAACATAACAACCAAAGATCCCAGTGACCTGATAGGGGAAGTGGTGTGTGTGTTGGGGGTGGCTTTTAGGGAAGGGGGAAGGAGGTGATTAAAGGAGGGAGGCTGATAAAATAAAATAAGGATGTCTAAAAAAGCCACAAGGAGTCATACCGTTGATTACTAAACAACACCAAAAAGAACTGTAGTACCTGTAATTCTGTGTATAAAAATACTTGTGTAATTTTAAAGAACTTTTCTCATCTGGGCTGACAATCCTTCCTCCAAGAGCCAAAGACCACCTAACAAAAAGCCCAGTACCAGACATGAGAAGCCTCTTTTGAGTTGTTGGCCAGGTCTGTCCAAGAGACTCCTAAACCATACAACCTATTGCTTTTGCCCTTGGTTACCCCCTAGAAGTGGAAAATAAGTTTCAATTGCTGGAGTCCCATGCACTTCAGAAACGGGGCCAAGAGACCCTTAAGCTAGAACTAACTTGAAGAGCACGTACATGTGAGCACACATACACACACAAAACCTGGTTGCTGCCCCAGGACTAACTTTCATGGTACAAGAAGGTGCCATGCAAACTTCTGAAGGAGGGAGGCAACCAACAGCCATACCCAGCTATGCCACCTATGAACCACATAAAAACAAAAACCAGCATGGCAAGAAAACCTTAAGGGTGCAGTGGTAGTGGCACCGCATACTTAACAGTAACCAACAGCCCTTAAACTGGACTGAGACTGGCTCAACTAGAGGGAGAACATGGTACTGGAAACCTAGCTAAGTGCTGGTAAACAACCGCTAATTTAAAGAATATGGTTCTTCAAGTGTGGCCTCCAAACTCTAGTGCCAACTTACCCATTTTCTCCCTCTGAATATGCACTTCACCACGGACACTCCTAGACCTCTGGAAATCTTAATGAGTGAGACAGATATGGTCCCTAACACCTGATGGAGAGGTCAGAATATATTCCCCTGTTGGCTGTTTACCAGGTAATTTAACACTATAAAAGCAAATTTTAAAACTTTTTTTTTAAAGAAGTAACAACCAGTAGTAAAGGTTTTCTGTACTTGTAAATTAAAGATGTGTTTACAACTCTGTAGCTTTTGGTTTCTTAGCCAGTAGCTGGGAATCAGTATAAATTTCATCCAGCTTCTATTCTGAATAACTGGCAAGTATGTGGAGGCAGGGGATGTGACTGTAAGTAGCTGGCTGTAATGTGTGTGAGGCAAGCTTGAGCCACAGCACAGCAACAAGTGATTATGTGTGCACAGATGGGACTGTAATGACGGCATTTGTCATTTTGTACATACAGAGTTCCTTCTAGTTAAAGGAATTGCCCACACAGTTTGTCTGACATTTGTGTTAGGGCATACAAAAGAGGCACATTATTCCTTGCTGTCTCCTCCAGCTGTTTTTATTTTTGTTTGTTTGTTTTGATCTGGCTAGCTTCATTATCTACTTACTCCCAATTATATTATTGACTCACTACAATGGAAAAGCAGTGTGGCACACGAACAGAGCTTAAGTTGGAGATAATTTACTTTGCAAAGCGATTGTGGAGTCTGGAGGTAAAAGGAACCTTACACATTGTTTATTTTATTTTCAACTTTACAGACAAAAACAATTTAAAGAACCAAGTAGATTTCTTTATTATCACAAAGCTGTTTAATGACAGAATCAGGATTATGACCTGGTGTTCTGACCTTCAGCCCACTCTGTTTTTTTATGGCTAGTCTTTGAAGTAAGATTTGGCTATAGCTCGCACAGCCTACCTACCCATCCACACAAAATAACAGGACTAAAGATTATAAAAATTGGAATGAAGCCGGGCGGTGGTGGCACATGCCTTTAATCCCAGCACTCGGCAGGCAGAGCCAGGCGGATCTCTGTGAGTTCGAGGCCAGCCTGGTCTACAGAGCAAGATCCAGGACAGGCACCAAAACTGCAAAGAGAAACCCTGTCTCGAAAGAAAAAAAAAAAAATTCAAATGAAGAAAACAGAGAATGTGATGGAAGAAAAAAGGATTCTCAATTTCTTAACACTTTATACCAACTTTTCAAAATTACTTTCATGTATCAAAAGCATAAAATATGGTTTACATATATATTCTTTTCCAGTGTTCCTAACAAGGTACTACAGATATTTATTTTTTTACTAAATTTCAGGTACTGTGCAAAATGTCAAGACTCATCTTTTAACTGTTTCTAGGAAACTTCTGAGTGGCTGTTAAGTCCTCTACAATTACGGTTTTTCAGTGGTCCAAGCATTCCGTTTTGAGTCCACAGCAGTGGGGATTCACATTCCTATTTACAGTGAGTGATACCACAACTATGAAGTATGTGTTACATGGTCTTTGTATAATATATTTATAACTAATTGTGATGTAGAGCTATTGATACAGAATATACTTGTATCTAATTCTGATGGGTGATTTCTTTAATTTAATTAAAATATTTACATTATTTTTTCCACTTCCTCTTTCCCCTCAGACTCTCCTACCTCTGGAATTCATGGTCTCTTTTTCTTTAATTATTATTGCTACATGTGTATGCAAATAAATATGTAAATGCAACCTGCTGGGTCCCTTTGGTGTTGCTTGTATTTGATTTAGGGATGACCACTTGGTATTGGATAACCAATTAGGAAGCTCATCCCTGGGGAGGACTAATTCTCTCTCAGCAGTCATCAATTCCCTTTTAGCTCTTCATCTAGGGAAGAGGCTCTCAACCTTTGGGGGTCACATCTCAGATATCCCGCATATCAAATATTTACATTACAATTCATAACAGTAGTGAAATCACAGTTATGACATAGCAATGAAATAATTTTATGGTTGGTGGTCACCACAACATGAGGAACTATATTAAAGGGTGACAACATTAGGAAGATTGAGAACCACTGATCTAGGGGTCGAGCCATGTAAGATTTCCTCATCCATATCAACTGGTGTGGTCATTGTTAAGGTCTTGTTTAGGCATATTGTTGAGATTTTGTGTGTGTAGATTCCCTGTCACATCTAGAGATAATACTGCAACCAACTACCTGGTCCTCTAGCTCTTAAAATCTTTCTGCCCCTCTCTTTTGCAGTGTTCACTGAACCTTAGGTGTAAGGGTTGTGTAAGATGTATCAACTGGGACTGGGCACCCCACAGATGGTTGTTCTCTACATTTTGACCAGATGTAGCTTTCTGTAATAGTCTTCATCTTCTGCAAAAGGAAGCTGCTTTGCTCAGAGGAGAAAACTACCCTTATCTTTGGGTTTAAATACAAGTATTTAGAATGCAGTTAGGAGTTACACTGGTTTATGAAAGGAGCAGTAATACCTTCTCCAAAATCCATGACCTCACTAGCCAGGCATGATTTCCCTTCTGTTGAGTGGGCTTTGCATTCAATGTGGCAGCTATTGGTTACCACCAATACATAAGTACCACTGTTACACCTTTAGAGACAGCTTGTAGCTTGTAGGCATCACAGCTGAGCAGGACTAATGATTGCTATCCTCCCTTGGCAGCCGGCAAAGCACTTTCTAGTATTATGAAATCTAGTTCTCAAGGAGGAAGCTTTCCAGTCAGATCACCTTGAACCTGCAAGTCTTGTGTCCAAAGTGTGTGATGTCTTCTGCAACAGAGACTTCCCTTCAGCTCTGGTAGGCAACAAGGGCAATAGCAATAGCCTATATTGTTTCAGGAGTCTCTTGATCTCCCATGACCAACAACTCAAAAGGAGGTTTCTGAAGCCTGGTACTGGGGTTTTGTTGGATAGCCTATGGCTCTTGGGGGAGGGGAGAACATTGTCCTGAATCCTCTGAAAGACAAGTCTTAGCCAAACCATCTCTCAAGCCCTTTATAGACGCTTTAAGTGAATTAGAAATAGTTATAGTTCATACACTTGGTTTTGGTGTTGGGAGTCCAACCCAAGTTCTTGTGCATGCTAACCTCTGAGCTATACTATCAATTCCCATATACCCTATTTTAATAATTTCCAGAGTATTTTACAGGGTCATAATATAAGCAAAATTAGAGTAAGTACCAGTGTTATTGGTACTTTCAGAATATGTGTTTCAGAATATTATATAAAAGTATCCTTGACTCCAAAACCTTGATAGGAATAAATAAATGAGAGTGCATCTGTGTTCATGTCAGTGAATACAACAGAAAAGTTACCTATGTTACATAGCTATGACAGGAACTTCTGAAAATTTCTAGAAGAAAATTGGTCTCTGCAATTCACTTCTCCCACTGTCCTTCCTCTTAACTCTCTACTCACCCCAAAGGTTAAGATCACCCTGTGTTTTGGAAAACAACAGTTCCAGTGTTCTGTTGCTGTTTGTTCCCTTGGACTCTATGTAAATGTTACAAGTCACTTAGAAGGGAAGTGGAAGGGTTAATACAGTTTTAGTACCATTTGAGCAGAGACCAGTGTAATAGCTGCCACACATCGCCAAAGCTGTTTTTTTCTAATAAATTTTATTCTAAAGACAAATGTGGAGATATGAACAGATAGTTTCAATTTAATAGAGTTAAAGCTAAAACCAGCATTCATCGGAGTTGTCCCTCGAGAGCGTCATCAGGGCAAAGTGTATAAAATCAGTAAGAGAGTGGACTTTTCTTTAAGGACATGAATCCCTGGCAATGAGAAATAGTATTCATGCTTGCACATTTTGACTGGCATTTGATGAACTGTGGCCTTAGCAATACAGATTAGATAGGCCAAAACCAGCTTCACCTTCACTGGAATTTCTAGACTGGCAAGTTTATGCTTTCTTTCTCTCCTGGCTTTTCAGCATTCTTAGAGGAGCTGGGAGCCTCTTCCCTTTCTTCTGTGGAAGTTGCAAGTTTTTCTAGGGATTCTATTATTTCACTTCTCAACTCATCTTCAGACTCTTCAAATTTTCTGAAATAATAAGCAGTCAAAATCAGTGTTATGATATAAAAGCCATAATAGAAAAACTAGTTTCCTTTTTCATTCCCTGCTTCCACCTGAGCATTACACAACTTGGATGTTCATCAGATAACAAATTATTTTATCAGTTTGGCCTGGGGAGGGAAGTATATGCGACTGAATGTGTGTGCAGATGTAGGTGCAGGTGCATATATACATTCATGCAGAGGCCAGGGAAGGACATGGGGAGTCCTGCTCTGTCACTCTACATTATTCCTTCAAGACTGTCCCTCATTAAACTCAGAACTAGGCTCCAGCTAAGCCAACAATCCTACTATCTGCTCACAGCACAGGTTGCAAGCACACAAAGCCACACCTGTTTTAGGTGGGTGCTGGACTCCAAGCTCAGGTCTTCATGCTTATACCTACCTAGAAAAAAAAGATTACTGTATAACACATTTACACTGGGCTAAGGATGTAGCTCAGTTGGTAGAGTGCTTGCCTAGCATGTGAAGTCTAAGGCTTGCTACACAGCACTGATTGAAGATGGTGGCACATTCCTATAAACTCAACACACAGGAAGTGGAGACAGAAGATACTCAAGTTCAAGATTGTCCTTGACTATATAACCAGTCTGGGATATCTGAGTCCCTGCCTCAAAAATAGAAACAAACACCAAACCACCCAAAAAAACCACTATTACACTAGGAGCAGCCCCATGCAGCCTCTGTGTAGTGTTTCTTGACTCTGGCAAAAGGACATCTGAACCAGGCAGAGTGGTGCAGGCCCTTCATCCCAGCACTCATGAGGCAGAGGCAGGTTGCATTTGAGGCTAGCCTAGTCTATACAGTGTGTTCCAGGACAGCTAGGGCTACACGGAGACACCCTGTCTAGAAAAACAAAAACAAAAGAGGAGTGACTGACCTACACCGTGTAGGTTTGTGTAAGTGCACACTGTGAGGTTCACACAAAGATGAAATCACCTAACAGTACATTTCCAAGAGCTAGTCCTCTCATTAAGCAATGTGTGGCTATAATTAACCAAGGGAAGAGGCAGATGAAGATAGAGACATGATGGCTTGCCTTAGTAATTCGTGGCAACAGATGACCTTGGAGAACTATGTCCCCACTCCTAAGAGTATCAGGCAGAATGGGCCATCATCAAATGGACTGAGAAAGCAATGGGAGACAACAGAGGTGACAAGGGACAAGAAGCTCCTGCTCAGTCCTCCAGGGAGCCCAGCCCTGGAAGACAGTCGAGCATGGTGGTGGTGGTGGTGGTTGTTGTTTAGCATGTTGAGACGCTTGAGAGAGAGCAGTACAGATGGGAATCCCTTATCCAAAACACTGCTGCTCCTACACATTTCAGGTAAGTTCTAAACCTGTAATAGATGGAAAATTACAGGGTCTGGAGAAGTGATTAGGCCATGAGAGCAAAGCTCTAATGAATTGGACATTGCTTTATAAAAGGAGCCTGATGGAGTGTTTTTCCATTCCACTCAGAACAGTGCTAGACAGTATCTTTGAACTCAGGACTTAGTCCTCACCAGACATCAAATCTTGAATTCAACAGATTGCAAAACTGTATACTTCTGTTATTTATAAGTAACCTACTCCAAAGCTTTTTGTTTTAGCAGCCTAAACACTAAGATCTTTTTATTTTTTATTATTATGTGTATGAATGGTATGTGTATGGTAAGCATGTGGAAGTTAGAGGACAGACTTCAAGAGTCAGTTCTCTCTCGCTCTCTCGCTCTCGCTCTCTCTCTCTCTCTCTCTCTCTCCTCTCTCTCTCCTCTCTCTCTCTCTCTCTCTCTCTCACACACACACACACACACACACACACACACACACACACACACACACCACATATTACAGGTATGGTGGCTCATGCCTATACCCAACACTAGAGAGGCTGAGGCAGGAGGATTGCAGGTTAAAGGTGAGCCTAAGCTGCACAGTAAGACCGTATTTCGAAAAACAAAATCAGAAACAAACCCAAGTTCTCATACATGTTAAACAGGCATTCTTCTACTGACCTGAGTTCTCCCTGCCCCAAGTCCCTGTTTTAATTAAATAACTTAAAATACATTCTTCACAATATAATCATATGAAGTTCTTCATGGCCTAATTCAGCTATTTCTTGTATTTGCAGTCTCTCATAGTAGATGCTGAGTGACTGCATTTTATTTTGTTTTGAAAGAGGGTCTCATCTGGCTAGATGCTGTTTTCACATTTCAATTGTGAACTTGTCTTCATTTCTCCTGAGAAAATTCAGCACATTATAACAATATAAATATAGCACATGTTTTATATTTACTTCTTCTGAGATGCTAGGAGTAATAACATCCTTTAATGTTACTCTTAATGCTGGTTTCTCAGTGCGGGGGTTTCCAGGCCACCCACATTCTGTGATTCAAACTCCAAATCCAAGCAAACTCAACTCTTGAGCTTACAAATTCCTTGTGAGATTTTTTTCCCCAAGTGTGGTAGTTTGAGTGAGAATGCCCCCCATAGGCTCATATATATAATATATATATATATATATATATAATATATATATATATATTATATATAAGTTTTGAGGGGTTTTTTGTTTTTGTTTTTTGAGACAGGGTTTCTCTGCATAACAGCCCTGGCTGTCCTGGAACTCACTTTATAGACCAGGCTGGCCTTGAATTCAATAGAGATCTGCCTGCTTCCTGAGTGCTGAGATTAAAGGCCTATGCCACCACCACCCAGCATGCATATATATTTAATATGATGCAATTAATCATTTTGTGAGGGACAGAGTTTAGACAGGATGTCTTGTAGCCTGGGCTGGCTTTGAATTTTCTTGTAGCTGAAGATGACATTGAATTCTTGATCCTCCTGCCTTCCTTCCTATAACTCTCAAGTGTTGGGATTATAGATGTGTACCCCAGTGTGAAGCAAGCCTATGATTCAACCCTAAAACAGAAAAAAAAAAATATACTGATAGACACAGATACACATGCATCTCTGCTCACCCATGCACACCACAGAGAAGGGGGGACGGGGACAGAGCCCAAACAAATCCATTTATATTATAAAACTTAAGTCTCCTTAGGTAGGTCTCCATGGGCCATCTTCTATCTCACTTGCATATGACCTACTCACATATCACCATCCGATCCTGGATCCAATTGTTCATCATCCACTACAATGCCAGCAGCTACTTCTGCCTCTTCCTGGTCTTCTTGAGGAAGCTGTGGTTTTACCATTACTACTGAAAGAAATGGTAAAGATTAAAGTAGACTAATCTATGCATTGATGAACAACATATACCCACAACCCTACAGTGAATGCCATCCATGATGGCAAAACAAAGTACTGGCAGGGATGCCAACAGATACATGTTGTGGTTGGGATGCGAAGTGTCCCCCACAGGCTCAAGTGTTCGAATACTCGGGCCCCAGCTGGTGGTACTATGTAGGGAAGCTGTAGAACCTTTGGAAGTGGCTCCTAGATGGAGAAAGTGGGTTGCTGGGCAAAGAGCCTTGGGTTTTATAGGCATGCCCTGTTCCTGACCCATCTCTGCTTCCTGGTGCACCGAGGCATGTGCAAGCAGCTGCCACATACTCCTGCCACCACAGAGACAGCTTCTGCCATGCCTTCCTGCCATGCCATGATAGACAGTGGCTCCTCAAGTCATGAACCAAAAGAAGTCATTTGTCCCTTAAGTTGCTTCTTGTTGAATCTTTAGTATCAGTGATGAGAAAAGCAATTAGTGCAATATTCATTTATTTGGCACTGTACTAAAAGTAATGGAAAACACAAGAAGACATAAAAAATGAGTATCAATAAGGGTCAGACAGAAAGAGACAAAATTACCCCATTTGGAGGTTGCATAGAAATTTTAAGAAAAGTATGAGTATCAAAACTCAAGACTTGCCAAAACTGAACCATCCTTATTCTTCTCCATTTCTGTAAAACCAGTGTCTATCTGTGCTTTATGCACATAGTGATGTGGCCTGCAGAGCAAACTGGAAGTACACACATATACACCTTCATCATTGCAACCGAGTCTTTGTATTCATTCTTATTATCGTAAATAATAATCTTGGTCTGGGCATGGTAACATCTGCCAGGAGGACTCACAGCACTCGGGAAGCGGAGGCAGGAGGAGAAATGAGTTTGAAGCCAGCCTGGGCTGTACAAGATCTTGTCTGGTGTCTTAGTTACTTTTCTATTGCTGTGACAAAACACCAAGGTCAATCGCCTGCTTGGATGGGGTATGGCCCCCTCCTTGTATGACATTTGCATAAGCTTTTATCATTTCTTTTTAGGAGCAGAAAAATTCCTTAGGCTTTTTCCTTTCACTGGTTGCAGGATTAGCTGAGAAGGGGTCCCACCACTCCCTTTGTTCCATTTTTAATCTAGTCTCTTTTTCTGGCACAAGCCTTGGCTCCAACATTAAATTTATTTATTTACTTACATTAAACCATCCCTGTATCTCTTTGATGCATCCAACTTGATCATGGTAGATAATCTATTTGATGGGTTCTTGAATTTAGTTTATAAGTATTTTATTGAGAATTTTTGCATCTATGTTGATTAGAAAACTTGGCCAATAATTTTCTTTCTTTCTTGGTGTGTGTGTGTGTGTGTGTGTGTGTGTGTGTGTGTGTGTGTGTGTGTGTGTGTGTGTGTGTGTGTGTGTGTGTGTGTGGTATTGGATATCTGCCTGGTTTGAGTATCAAGGTGATCCTGGCTTCATAAAAAGAATTTTAAAGTGTTCCTTTTCTAGTTTATGAAATAATTTAAGTAGTGTTGTTAGTTCTTATTTGGAGGTCTGAAAGTTTGAAAATCTTTGAAAAAATCTATCTGGGTTGAGCATTTTTTAGTTGGGAGAGTTTTATTACTGCTTCCACCTTATTGGCTGTTATGTGTCTGTTTAAATTATTTACTTCAATTTGATTTAACTTTGGAAGGTCATATGTATTAAGAAATTTATCCATCTTCTTTCTTTCTTCCTTTCTTTTTTATAGATTTTCCAGTTTGGTAGAGTATAGAATTTTATGGTACATGATGATTCTCTAAATTCCCTCAGGGTCTGTTGTAATGTCTCCCCTTCATCTCTGCTTTGATTAACTTGGGTGTTCTTTTTCTGTTTTAGTTATTTGGGGTAAAGTATATTGGCCAATCTTGATCATCTTTTAAAGCAGCAGCTCTTTTTTAAATTGATGTTTTTTATACTTCGCTGTTGTTGCTGTTGTTTTGTGTTCACTCACTTCAGCCCCTGACTGTTAGTATCACTTCCTATCTACTCCATTTGAGTGTTATTTGCTCTTCTTTTCCAAGACCCTCAGGTTTAACATTATGTTATTAATGTTCAATCTCCACAGGTTTTTTGATGCAAGCACTTAGTGCTATAAACTTTGTACTTATGAATGCTTCATTGTGTCCCATAGATTTGGGCATGTTGTGTTTCATTTTTTCATTCAGTTCTAGGAAGTGTTAAACTTCCTTCTTGATTTCTCCATTGACACAATTTTCATTCACTAGTATATTGTTTATTTTCCACGAGTCTGTGTACTTTCTGTTCTTTCTATTGCTATTCTATTTGATTTAACTTTGGTTAATACCCAGTATTAATACAAATAAAGCTGGGTATCAACCCAGCTTTATTCCTTTGTGGTCAGATAATATGAAGGATGTTATTTCAATTTTCTTCTGTAAATTTGTTGAGACTTGCCTTGTGTCCTCATATGTGGTTGATTTTGCAGACAGTTTCGTGGACTACTGAGAATAAATAAAATGTATTCTCTAGTGTTTGGGTGGAGTATCCTGTAGACGTCTGTAAGATCTAGTTGATTTATGGTGTCATTTAGCCCCACCATTACTCTAGTTTCTGTCTGGACCGATAAGAGTGCTGAAGTTTCCCAATACCACTGTGTCAGAGTCAATCTGTGACTTTAGATTTAATAGCATTTGTTTTTATGAAAGTGGGTGTCTCTCTGGTGCACACATGTTAGGACTGTAATATCCTCAGGTTTTTTCCTTTAAGGAGTGTAAAATGTCCTTCTCTATCTCTTCTGATTAGTTTGGGTTTTAAATTTGTTTTGTCAGGTATTAGACTATCTATATCTGGTTGTTTTTTTATTCCTTCTGTGTTCAGAATAAAAGTCCATCAGGGCCCAGCTGTGTGTGCTTGCCTGCTTGGTTGACAGGACTACACACCATTCTGCAGAAGTAAAACTTTTTGCCCTGCTGAAATACTTTGGATCATGTGGCCATTTTCCTGGAACCCTCGAACCCATTTCTAACACTCAGGCTGTCTCAAACATAGGTCTTCCAGCCTGTACTTCTGAAGTGCTAGGGTCAAAGACCTACAGCACCATGCCTGACCTATGCTTGATTTCCCCAGAATGATTTAGTGTAAATATCCCAGGGAAAAGGTTAAACAATAACATAGATGTAAACATCCTAGGAAAAAGTTAAACTGTAACAGAGAAAATTATATTTTGATTCAGTGGAAAATAAATCACTTAGTAATGAATCTAAGTTTAAACAAAGATGAATTATATAATAGCCATTTTGAGTCAATAAGAAAATCTGTTAATAAAAATATAATATAGATAGTCAGGTGTGCTGGTGCATGCCTTTAATTCTAGCACTCATGAGGCACAGGCACAGTGTGTGTGTGTGTGTGTGTGTGTGTGTGTGTGTGTGTGTGTGTGTGTGTGTGTCATGTTTTATATATATATAAAGTTTTACATATAGTATATAACATATAATATATAATGTAGCTGTATTTAATGATGTGTGCTTGTCATCCCAGCTACTCAAAAAGCAGAAGAATCACTTGCACCTATAAGCTGGATGTTTTCTTGGACAACAAAAGATTCTGACGAGAAAGAGGGGATAGGTATTGCTTTAAAAATGAAGAACACTCAGGAGGCAGAGGCAAATGGGTCTCTGTGAGTTCAAGACCAACCTGGTCTACATAGTAAAGAGTTCCAGGCCATCCAACCATCCATACATAGTGAGCTACATAGTGACACACAGTCTTTAACAAAAAACAGTGGAAACATAACAAAATGAACTGTTTTGGTTTGCATTCTTACTACGCATAGGAAAATAAAGTCAGTCCACTGTAACCTATCAGAGCTCAGCAATGCTAGGTTATCATCCCAGGGTGCCAGTCCTTTTCATCAGTTGTCACCTTCAAATGCTACACAAAATTATGCTTCTGTCCTTGGAAGTTCATGTCACTTGTTTTTTGGGTTTTGGTTTTTTGGGTTTTTGTTTTGGTTTGGTTTGGTTTTGGGTTTTTTTTTTTTTTTTTTTTTTTTTTTCGAGACAGGGTTTCTCTGTGTAGCTTTGTGCCTTTCCTGGAACTCGCTTTGTAGCCCAGGCTGGCCTCGAACTCACAGAGATCCGCCTGGCTCTGCCTCCCAAGTGCTGGGATTAAAGGCGTGCGCCACCACCACCCCGTTCATGTCACTTGTTACACCACTTGATTAGAGCAAATCAGACAAAAGAAGACACGTTCCCACTTCTCTCTCCAAGCCAGATGTATGGTTAGTACCTTTTTGCATTCATAAAGCATTGGCATAATAGCTTCATTAAAAATGAACTACATACCAGGTTCCCCTCCACTGGCAGACAATGGGCTACTGCGGGCATGTGCTGCCGTCACAGCACTCAGGGTCCCTGGCACATCACACCACCATGGCTTCCGATTCTCTGGACTACCTTCCATCACAATAACTTGGCCATCTGAAAAGGATACTGCATTAGCAAAAATCAAGATGCTTCTTTGTTTCAGTTTTTATAAGACCACAGAATGTCAGAACCATGGATTTAATCACATTCCTCATTTTATTAATAAAGAGACCAGTATAAAAAAACAACTTTACTGCCTTTTTGTCACAGGTTGATGAGAAGAGAGTCACATTTTACTTTGTGAACTGTGGTAAGTTTCCACGTGCTTATTTTTAAGTTGAGTTCACCCTCAGATGTCTTACTGAATTATAAATCAGCTCATACACTTACAGTAACTCATTTTAGTGATACACACTTATCCCTTGGCACCCAGAGCAGATTAATTGCAGGCCATCCAATGGTGTAAAAATCTGTGCATGTGGGCCGGAGAGATGGTCCAGCAGTTGAAAGCACTTGCTGTCTTGCAGAAGATTCAAGTTTGCTCCCCACATGGTCTCTTTCAACTACCTGTAACTCCAGCTTCAGGGAGATGCTATGCCTGTGGCCTCCACAGGCACTGTGCGAACATGCATCTATTCACACACAGACACAAGGATATATAATTTAAAGATTTTTTAAATATATATGACTAAATTGTTTACAGGCAATAGGTACTATTTGCATAAAGCCTATGCACACCTTCTCACAGACTTTTATAGGGGGTGGGGGATGAGACCGTGTCTCATGTAGTTCATGCTAACTTTGAACTGTCTATGTACCTGAGGATGATATCTTGAACTCCTGATACTCCTGGTCTCCATCTCTACCTTCCAAATGTTGGGCTTACAGCATGTGCCACCATGCCTAATTACCAGCATACTTTATTTTTAAGATTTAATTTTTATTATTTTTAGTAATTATGTAGATACGTGTGAGGGTGTAGGCTTATGTGTCTGGTTGCAGTACTTGAAGAGGCCAGAAGAGGGTTTGGGGTCTCCCACAACTAGAGTTACATGGGGTTGGGAGCCTCCATATTTGGGTGCTGGGAACTGAACTGCTGAGCCATCTCTCCAGCCTATTCCATAAGCTTTGAATCAACCCTAGATGATTTGTCCAGCACAGCACAATGCAGACGCTGCATACATCATTGTTACACTGTACTGCTTAGGGAACAATGACAAGAAAACATCTGTATGTGTTCAGCACAGATTACATCATTGTTATACTGTACTGCTTAGGGAACAATGACAGGAAAACATCTGTATGTGTTCAGCACAGATTACATCATTGTTATACTGTACTGCTTAGGGAACAATGACAAGAAAACATCTGTATGTGTTCAGCACAGATGAAAGCTTTTTTTCTGAATATTTTCCATTTGGGAGTAATTGAATCCAAGGACATGGATTCAACTTATAGCACAGTTTTAAATTTTAACCCATTCTCAGGGTTAAGTAATGAAGAGGAACAAGGAAGTGAGCAATAAAAACCTTCCCTGCTTATTAAGGTAACTTCCAAGAGTTTGGGGAATGACTAAGTGAGTAAAATCTGCTTGTTGCATAAACATGATCACCTGAGTTTTCTGGAGCTTGAACCCAGGACCTTCTGCATGCTAGACAAGCCCTTGACAGCAGAGTTGTATCCCTAACCCTAAGACCAATTTTATTGCTGAGGGAAAAAAAAAATCATCGATGAAATGACAAGGCTAATTAAGGTGGCTCGGGGAAGTAAGTAGACTCCCCGCTTGTTTCACACCCCTCCCTTCAGGAAAGATGCAGGTGCAATTTTCTTCCTTGACTTTGTATGACCAGAGTCATCGACCGCTAGGGTAACTAGCAGACAAGTCTCAACTTGATACTTGTGCGGCCAAAACAATGTCTGTGGAAAATGTTGAGTGACTGGGAAGCGACAACTATTCCAATCAGTGTGTGCTGGCAGCGCAGCTGTGCCGGGCCCTGGTTTCCCCTTGCCGCTGGTTGACAATAACTGACCAAAGACTCACCATCAGGCATGGTGGGGCAGGGGGAGGTGACATCTGCTGTTGCCATTATCTGCAGCAGAGTCTGAGGTGCTCTGGCATCCCACTGCCTCCTGTTCTCTACAGCAATGATGTCCTGAAAGAGACCCTCTGGGTGTAAGAAAATAACCCATTAGTTCCATCGCAGCCAGACTATAACAGCAGCACCGAACAATTCTTAGGGACTGTCCCAGTTTACTTTTCTGTTGTGACAAATGCCATGACCAAAAGCAATCTTTGGAGGAATGGGTTTATCTCATCTTACAGCATACAGTTCATCATGAAGGCAGTCGGGGCAGGAACTCCAGGCAGGAACCGAAGCAGAGGCCATGGGAGAGTGCTGCTTACTGGCTTGCTCTCAGGCTCACACTCAGCTCCCTTTCCTCTACCTCCCCAAACCCAGGGATGTCATAACGGGTGGGGCCCTCCTACATCAATCATTGGTCAAGAAAATGCCTCACAGGCTCGCCTAGAGGCCAACCTGATAGGGGCCATTCCTCAACTGAAACTCACTCTTCCCAGATGACTCCAGTTTGTGCCGAATTGACAGAAAACTAACCAGCCCAGGGACCCAAGAGTAGGATGTTCAAGCCACAGAACCTGGGCTTCTAACAGACCCAACACAGAAGGCTGACAGTGCACACAGCTTTTTACCATTAATGCTTGATTATCCATTTAACTAAGGCCTAAGGAAATACATGAATGGGCAAATCCCTGCGACATCTATGAGAATTCTCATGTGACTGTTTGTAACAATGCAATCTCTATTTCCTTTCAATCTCTCCCTCTCCCCAATGTGCCTCCTTTCTTTGTCCCAGACTGGCTTGGAATTCAAGGCAATTTTATCTTCATACCTCACCTCCCATATGCTAGGGCAGCAAGCAAGAGCCACCATGCCCAGATCCATTTTTATTTTATTATTTATTTGTGTACATGTGTGTGCAGGTGGCCAAAAAAATGCATCTGATCCCCTGGAGTTGGAGTTTGGTTTAGAACCACCTAGTGTGGTTGCTGGGAACTATATTAAGGTCCTCTAAAAGAAAGCCAAAGGCTTTTGACTGCCAAGTTATCTCTCCAGCCCCAAAGCCATTTTCTTTTTTAATTTTGTAATTTTTTTTCACTTTTATATGTATGGGTATTTGCCTCCATGTTTTTCTGTGTACCTGGTGCCCACAGAGGTCAGAAACAGGATGGGAGTCAGACCCTATGGAACTGGAGTTACAGACCATTGTGAACTGTCATGTAGTCTTGTATAATATTAGAGGGACCAGCCTTAATATTACACATCCCAGGGGCTCAGGAGAGAGAAGTACGAACGGCGAGGACTATTGTCAGGAAATAGAATCTCAGCACACAGGGCTCTACAGTCCACTTGCTTTAATTCCTCTGGGATAACATCCTATATACACAGCTTCAGTTCTGTTCTCGTGCCTAGCTCCTTTCTTGCCTGATTTCTCTCTATATTTATCTACTGCTCCCTCTAAGTTCTATCTTAATTCTCTCATCTTAATTCTGCCTCATCTAGGTCCTTTTCATCTTGTTCTTACCCAGCTAGTACTTCCTCATCTGACTCTTCCTCATCTTCCATCTTGTCCACACGTACTCTCTGGTCAAAATCCTCCTTATACCTCCTTGTTCTCCATCTCTCTGTCCTCTCGTGCCCTGGGAGTCCCAGTATATATACACTTACAAGCAGTAATCTCTTCGCAGTGCAAAGCCAGGCTTCCAGGGTCAGAGGAGTAGAGAAATAAGAATCACATAGAGGAGCAATAACCATTAATTATCATTTGCCACCCAAAAGGGAAGTGACCAATGGGGAAATGAATTAACTAAAGGCTAAATTTGGGTAATATCTAAGAAGAGGTATCTTATGTGCTCAACTATAATCTTAAACGTGATTGGTAGAAAATGTTAAGAATCTGTAAGTTGCTAGGTCAATGGGAGAAAATAAAACTGCCTTCTTTTTTTCCTGTGGCTCATCATATCTGTTCCAGCTATCTGCGTTTTTCTGCAGGGTTGGGGAAAGTATGCTCAGTTGCTGGGCAACCTGTGTACAGCTAGATGCCTCTCTGGTGATTGTTAAAGGGAGATCTGGAACTAGAGGTAAGATTTGGGAAAGGAGGAAGTTAAGCTTAATTGGCACATCCGCCAGGCCTTCTCAAACGGGTTGTCTGGATGCTTAAGTCTGTTCTTAAAGAGTACAGAGGATGGGCTGGAGAGATGGCTCAGAGGTTAAAAGCACTGGCTGTTCTTCCAGAGGTCATGAGTTCAATTCCCAGCAACCACATGGTGGCTCACAACCATCCATAATGAGATCTGGTGCCCTCTTCTGACCTGCAGGTGTATATGCAGACAGAACACTGTATACATAATAAATAAATCTTTTTAAAAAAAAAAAAAAAAAGAGTACAGAGGTATCTTTCCTCCATCTGGGGATGGACCTGGCCTGATGCTTCCAATGATGATATTTGAACTGGGGTTCTGGCTGAGCATAGCTTTCATATCTACATATTCCTAGAAGTGGTTAGGTAAGGGGTTAGAGGTCTATAAAGTTAGTAAGGCTGTAAGAAGGGAGGGTAAAGCTATTACTTAACGTCCACCTGACCTAGGTGGTGTCTCCTTGTGGAATTTACCTTAAATCAGGAGACTTGCATGTGGACTGTTGTTACTGTTAGTCCTTGAAAGTGGCTAAGGGAGATAATCTGATTCCAGAGAAAGCCTTTCCCGAGGCTGTTCTCCAAATACCTGGAATGAGTATGTCCAGAGAGTGATCAGTCCACACTGTTAGCCCTTCTTAGGGAAAAGTCAATTGGGAAAACTATGAAGGCACACATGATTTTCATAACAGAATACAGCTGATATATAACAAGCCAAGTAACACTAAAAACTCCTTGGAATTTGGCTTCCTCTGGAGGAATTCCTTGATCCCTCCAGGTAGTGACTTAGCCATAACCAGCTGAGTTCTTATATATATATTCCTGCGGCCCGCAGCAACGTAGTGCTTGGAACTGAACCTGGGTCCTCTGTAAGAACAGCCAGAGCTCTTAATCACTGAGCCATCTCTCTAATCCCAAATCCATTTTCTTACGTTAAAAAGCAGGCCTGGTGAGATGGCTCAGCAGGTAAAGGGGCTTGCTGCCTAACCTGAGAACTTGAGTTCGATCCCCAGGACCCACCTGAGAACCAGCTCCTCCAACTTGAGTTCGATCCCCAAGACCCACCTGAGAACCAGCTCCTCCAACTTGCCCTCTGAACTCCACGTGGCACATACACAGAGTTAACTGAAAAATTAAGGAATTAAATTATACTATTCATGAAACTTAATACCATACTTTAAAAATATTTTTATTATTAATTTTTGGCCTTTTGATCCTGGATCTTGCTACGTGGCCTCAACTTCTGAACCTCCCACTTCAGCCTCCCAATTACTGGGATTATAGGTGTCAGCCACCATATTCAGCCAAGTTTTTCATTACTAATGTCATATCTATTAATAATTTCTTTTATTCTGTGATATTTTCTACATCTTAAAATATTTATTTATCTACTTAGTGATTTTATTTTTGGTTGGTTTTTGAGGTAGTGAACTTGCTGTGCAGTCCATACTGGCCTTAAACTCTTGGTCTTTCAGTTTGGTCCCCCGAGTATTGAGATTACAAGTGTGTACTGCCACCCCAGTGTCTTTGTGTTTTGAACAACCAGTTCGTCCCTATTTAAAGTATATATATAATTCTTTTACTTCATTTTCAAATATGTAACATTTTACATATGATTTTTTTAACATTTTGTTTTGTTGTACCATTATTTAGGATCAGATTTCATGCTTTTCCTAATGCAATGCTTAGTTTTAATTGTCTATTTGATATAATGAATCAAGTGGAAAACGAGTCTCAGTGAGGGACTGTCTGGATCTGGGTGGCCTGTGGGCACGTCTGTCGGAGACTTTCTTCCTCTCCTTGGTTGATGTGGGAGAACTCTGCACACACTGTGGGCAGCACAGCTCTCTAGGTTGGGCCCTGACTGTAGAAACAGAATGGAGAGAGTGGACTTAGTAACAGGTCCATCGGCTTCTGAGTGTGGATGTGATATGATGAGCTGCTTCAGTCTCCGGCTGCTCTGACTCTGGCTTCCTCCCGAGCCCACATCAGGTGGCTCACAACCTCCTGTAATTCTAGATACAGGGGATCTGCCTCTGCCCCCACCCCCAGTACCTTCATGCAAGTGTGCACATAAACCCATGCAGGCACACATGTATAAAGGCAATCAATCAATCCCTTTTTTAATTAAGGGAAGATCATTTATCAGGCACCTATCATTTATCAGGCACTTTGTACATATCATACGTCACTCTTCTTGCTACAGCAGCCCTGTGTGGTTATTACTACTGCTATTCCCCATGCCTCGAAGAGGAAAAGGGGGTTCAGAACATGAAAGTAACCTGCAAAAGAAGAAATGCCCCATGACCGGAAACTCCAGTGCTTGCCACTGGCTCCAGAACCCGGGTTTTTCATGGTTTCCTATGTCACCACGGTGCTCAAGGGTGATAGAACCCTACCTCGCAGCAGAAGGCATGGGGGCAGAGGAAAGTTCAGAGGTGTCTCTGAGGAGGAGCTGCCCTAGGTGTGTAGAAGGAACTGTCACCTTGGCAATGGCCTTGTCCTGAAGCAAAGGTCTCTGGGAAGGAGGAGGACACATGCTGAGGTTGTGGTACTTGTCACACCTGCCCAGGGAGCAGGTACTGAGAAAGACCCCTAAGTGTGGCATTCCTAGAAGTGCTGAAACTGCAGAAGGAGTGGGTAGAACTGCCTCTGTGTGTGTGTGTGTGTGTGTGTGTGTGTGTGTGTGTGTGTGTGTGTGTGTGTGTGTGTGCATGTGTGTATGTGTGGCAGGAAGGAATGCTGGATGAAGGGTGTGTGCAGGGAAGGAGACAGGAGCCCAGTGGAGAGACTGCGAATGAAAAGCTCTTTTCCTCCACTGCTTGCAAGCAATCTGTACCTGCTTCGGGGCCACAGAGCTCCTCAAAGGCTCTGTCTGTGTAATTTTCATGGTCCTTTACAGCTCTGCACTCCTGAAACTTCATGCCATCTTCAAAGCTCAAGGTATCATTTAGTTTATCCATTGCCTAAAGAAATTTCACAGTTTTTCATGAGAAAAAGCCATATTGGGAGTTAAATGCATTAATATGTGTGTTCCTAAATATTAATTTTCAAGCTACATGGTGATATATAAATATATAGAGAGATATAGATACACATATATGAACAAATCCATATAGTTTTTTTTCTTTTGGTTTTTCGAGACAGGGTTTCTCTATGTAGCTTTGCACCTTTCCTGGAACTCACTCTGTAGCCCAGGTTGGCCTCGAACTCACAGAGATCTGCCTGCCTCTGCCTCCTGAGTGCTGGGATTAAAGGCATGTGCCACCACCGCCCGGCTCCATATGGTTTTAAAGGTGAAACCATTTTGACTGAGACAGAAGCAGCAATGTTTCCATTTCTTCTTGCACATAGCAGCCTGCCTGATCATGGAAGAACTCAATTTCACCCAGGTATTCTATCTTCCGAATCACACTACTCACCTCAGCGTTTCCTTATCCATGCCCTGCTCTCAGTATCCAACATAATATGCTTTTCTTCTTCTTCTTCTTCTTCTTCTTCTTCTTCTTCTTCTTCTTCTTCTTCTTCTTCTTCTCCTCCTCCTCCTCCTCCTCCTCCTCCTCCTTCTTCTTCTTCAAGATTCATTTACTTTTCTTTTATGTGTATGACTGTTTTATCTACATGTACGACTGTATACCGCTTCTGTGTGTGGTGCCCAAGATGGCCAGAAGAGGGTGTTGGATCCCCTGGAACTGGCATTACAGATGATTGTGGGATGTCGTGTGGACAGGGAATCAAACATCCCAGGTCCTCAGGAAGAGCAACTATTGCTCTTAACCAGCAACTATTGCTCTTAACCAGCAACTATTGCTCTTAACCGCTGAGTCATCTCTCCAGCTTCCTTATTTTTCTTCTTAAACTGGGGCCTCACTGTGTTGTCCACAGTGTTCTAGAAATGACCAGACTCACGCAAGCATCCTACCTCAGCCTCCCCAGTAGTTGACACCATGGACACCAACCACACCCGGACTTTACAATCAAGCTGATTAGGTCCTAAAACTGCCCCTCATCTCCCATCACCAATACTAAAATGGTCATTTGGGTCCAGGCAGCTAGTGGCAGAGAATTTTCCTTGCATAGCATGTAAGCTCTCTTCTCTAGCAGCACGCAAACAAAATGAGTGTCAGATATGATGTTCATATTTAACTTCTAGTAATCTAAAAGATGAATTCAGAGGAAATTAAATGGAAAAAAGAAATCCGTTAATGTTGGAATTGACATTTGTTGGAAGTGCTAATGAAAGCTGAGATTATAAAAGGGATTAAAATCGAGTGATAAGATGAAACCTGGGTGTTTCTGTACATGTGCACTTATTGCCACAGCAAGGGGAGCCCAGAAGCACAACTGGGATCTCCCCACAGGCAGCTGCCAAGTTGTGAGAACTAATTAAGACCTAAAATAAATGACACTTTCAGGTTACTTGCTCAGTGATTTTTAATTCAGATATTAACTGTTGGCTATATACCATGCTCTTTTATTGGCAATAATAAAAAGTTAATATGATCAGGAAAATAACTCATTTATAAAAGAAACACAAATTAAAATGGAATAATCCATCCAAAGAAACAGTCTCATCTTTTTTTAATGAGAGGATAAAACGCATCAGATACCTTGTTTCTAAGTGTATTTAGGAAATTCTCATTACAGCCTGTGCAACAATTTCACGAACCTGAAGACGGACTCACTTTGTCATAGCTGAACATGGCAATATGTACATAATGACATACCTCATTCTCTTGGATGGCGTCTTCCTCAGAAATACACTTATCTAGGCTAATTTCAAACTTTACTCCTCTCTAGAATAAGCAAGAAAAAAAAATTAGTTTAGCAGTTCAATAGAGCCTTCCAATTACAACCCCTGGGGTCAGTTTGTGTTGGCAGCACACACACTTAAGATCACTAGTGTAGCACCACACAGTAGGGATAGTCGAAGGTCCAAGGAAAACCTGTCCCATGCAGTGGGAAGAGCAGGGTGAAGTTCCTAGAGTGGCGGTGTGACAAGGAATGATAAATAAATGAACAACACAGATGAACACTAGTAATGCTTCCTGTCGCATGACAGAAGCCGGATGAAAGGGGACACTAAGGGATGATGGCATTTCTATGTCATGCTCTTGTCCAGAAGATGTCAACTAGTCCACTGTGACAGAAAACTCATGAGCAGCTGCCTAGGGGTGATGAGGGGGCGGAGGCCAGGAGAAACGGGAAAGGAGAATGGACAAAAGAGCATCTGAGCTTTTGTAAGGTCCCCACCGGACTGAGTGGCACAGCAAGAGGTCAGACCTCTCCCTGACCCCTGGGACAGAAGCACCCTAGCTGGGAAGCTCACACCCCCCTGGCAATAGCATCTCTACCTGTGCCAAGGCTTCTTCTTCAGCTGCATCAGGGCGGGAGGGCAGGTGACTCCTCTTCACCAAATAGGTTTTATGACTGAGGTCTGCATTCTCCTTTAATACAGATTACACACAGTCAGTGAGCTTGGCTCTGTAGGCTACTTACCGTCTGTCCCTCTCAGAGAGGTTGAAGAGCTGGCCACAGACCCCTCCAAGCCCTCTTTCTTCCTCCTTTACCTTGGGATTGACCAAATTCACCAGATGCTTCTTTCACACACTCTAGAAATGCCTGCTGGCTGGCCCTGGCAGCATGCACAGCCTGAGTGTGATCCCCAGCACCCAAAATCAAGAAAGGTAGGAAAAAGAAAAGGAGGGAGGCATGCCTGCTGCTCAGCTTTTCTGGACTCAGACTTCCCGATGCAGACCTGCAGTACATAAGGCTGATGGCAGCACAAGGCTCCCCGCCATGGACGAAGCTCTGCCCTGGAGAGACACACCCCTTACATCCAGCACAGGCCACTTAGCTCAGACCATGTAAAGTCCATCCCTCTTCTCAGTCCAGTCTCCCCCCATGCCATCCATCAACTCTTCCACAGAAGCCTTCCTCCTAGTTAGCCTTCTCATCCTTGTTGCTATGCACCTACGAGGCTTGACTACAGCAGTCTTGTTTCATTATAATTTCACATGTGTATTTTGAGTAGAACTGCATCTGCTAGGAAGCAGATGTGTCAGAGACGTACTCTTAGCTTGCCTTGTAACTGCTAAGTGACTTTGGATGAGTAATTGAATTTTCTGTGATAGGACATACATAAGGTGCACTGGAAAAGCTCGGCTCGTGCTCACTTATACTAATTTTTGCACAAACGCTCGGTGGTGGAGGAAGGCTGGAGGCGGCAGGTCTGCTGCAGCAGCATGGCAGATCTATTCAAGGAGGTGCTAGGTGGCCTCCGCAGAGCCCAACGGGCCTCAGAGAAGGAGCAATCCAGGATGCTGAGGGGATTCACGGTGTTGGAATACCTGTGTGGTTTTCACACAGCAGGTTAAATACAGGCTACCTTAGTCACCTCCTGAGGAGATGGCCATCTGCTGCAAGTCTAGAAACCTGAGAGATGGAAGGATGAGTTTCCATTTTTACCACTGTGGGCTTTTCAAGAGTGATGTCAACTGTGATCAGTACACAGTCTCATAAACAAAGAAGTATGTCCTAAGAAATGTGAGCATCATAGCACATACTTATACAAACTAAGGTGGCAAGGACATCAGACAATATAGTTTTGTGAGACCACCATGTTATATGTGGTTTATCATTAACCTCAAATATCATAACTCCAGATGTCTAGGTCCCAACACAAGCACACGCACATGACCAGCCAAGACAACAGGCGTCCTCCAGAGGTCATTATGTCCTATGATAACTTAACAATCATTACTAATGTAATATATCATTATATATTATTACTAATATAATATCCCCCAAAGGGAAAAGTGGCACTTCCCATGACCACACCGACTTGGAGTCCCTGCTCACAGTTGACTTTAATAACCTCCGGCCATTTTCACTCACTCTCCTGACAGGCATGAGCCTATACTCATCTTGGACTTTCTGCATCTAATCCAGTTCTGTCCTAAAGCAGCTGCTTAGTAAACACTGGCTTTCTGATCACGAGGAAGACAGTATGTATTTTTAACAACAGTGATTCCTAATTAAGATTCTCATATCCCGTCATCATCCTGTGTGGCCTCTAGTAAACCATAATGCTGATCTTCTGTTAGGTCTGACAGCTTTCCTACAAAGAAAGAAACCTGGAGGATCACCTCTTTCTCATTTCCTATGAGGAGATTGTGTTCTCCTCATGTGTCCATGTTTCTGTGTGTGTGTGTGTGTGTGTGTGTGTGTGTGTGTGTGTGTGCGTGTATGTATGTGTGAGTGTGTATCCATGTGTGTGTGTGTATCCGTGTCTGTGTGTATATGTCTGTGTGTGTCCATATGTATGTGTCCTTGTGTGTTCATGTGTGTGTATGTGCATGTACATGTGTGAATGTACATGTGTATGTGCACATGCGCACATACATGCATGTGTGTGTGCATATATGTTTGTGTGTGTGCGTGCACGTGTGTGTTTGTGTGTATACACAGCCCACTCCCATCCACTAGGGAATCGGCCACTTGGTGTTTGGAAAGACCTTTCAGCATTTCCAGTCCTTTGTGACTCTGCCTACCCACAGAGCCTCTCTTCACCAGGAACCCAAAGCTGCCAGCCTAGCTTTAGATATTAAATGTCTTTTAGTATCTGGTCATTTTGTCACCATTAAATTGATAGAACAATGTTCACTCTGGTAGAGTGACTTCACCTTCAGCTCTCTCCCCATCCTCTTTTTAATCTCCTTCATGTCGCTGTGGTACTGTTGGCGGATTTCCTCTAGCTGTCTCCAATATTCCTGAAAAACAAAACCAATTTAAAACTTGAAAATAATCTCTACATAGCCTACAATTTTTGAAGCACATAGTATAAGTAGTCATCACAAAAGCAGTCGCTTCTACATGTAATGATATGCTCACTTTGGCTGTGGTACTTCAGAGCCTGGGAGGGACACACAAGTATGGGGCAGAGATCTTTGTTTATTATAATTCCAAATTATGTGCAGCTTCTCTGCACATTCCATTTTTGTACTAATTGAACATGTTGCCCCTCAAAAGATGCATGGAGGCTGGGGTGCACACCTTTAGTCCTAACTATATGGAAAGGTGAGATGGGAGGATCACTTGAGTTCAAGAGTTCAAGACTAGCCTGGGGACAGAGACTTCACTCATCACCATTATCACCACCACCACCACCACCATCATCATCATCATCATCATCATCACCACCACATACACCCAAGTCTTATCACCCAGTACCTCAGATTGTGACCTTACTTGGAAATAGAGTCTTTACAGATGTAATTAGTTAAAATGAAGTCATGCTGGGGTAGAGTGGGCCCCTTAATCAATATGAGTAAATGCCTTTTGAAAAAGTGAGCACAGCCCAATCCCAACCACTAGGAACTTGGCTGCTTGGTGTGGACCCAGGGTCCCTCTAGTCCTTCTTGGAAACACCTTTCAGCCCTTCCTTCTGCCATCTCCAGTCCTTTGTGACTCTGCCCACCCACAGAATCTCTCTCCACCAGGAACCCAAAGCTGCCAGACTAGGCTGGGACTCAGGTAGGGGACCTTCACCCCTCTTCCTATCCTCCATTAAAATCTCTTCAGACTTATCGTTAGTCCTGCAGCAGCCTGCCCACAGGAACCCTTCCTCCCAGAACACCAACATCCTCTTCACACTCGTCCTCTTGGTGCAAACCCAGGGTCTCTCTTGTTCTTCCCCACAGCCTCTCTCAGCCTTTCCTTCTAGGCCATCTCCATTCCTCTGTGACCCCATGCTGAACTGCAGAACAGCTCTCTACCAGAGATCCCAAATTGGCCTCCGCACCTGGCTAGGACTCAGATCAGCCAACAGTAACCAAAGAACTGAACATCTACCCGATAAAGACCAGACCAGAAATCTATACCAAGAGTACTTTAAACATCATCATCACCCCAGATGCACAGATCCAAGCACGCACGCGCGCGCACACACACACACACACACACACACACACACACACACACACACACACACACACAACCAAGATGATATGCCTCCTCCAGAAGCCAGCAACCCTACTATGTACAGGCTTCTAGGCTCGAGCACGTGACTGCCCACACTGGTTCTGGCCTTCAACCTCCAAAAGCACAAGACAATGCTACTGCTGTTTTAAGCTACCTGTTTTGTTGTATTTCACTACAATAGTCCTAAAAGATCTAATAAAAAATCTCTTTATCAAATGCTTTATAAACTCAGCTCTCTGTGTCCACAGGGATGCTGGGAGCAATCCTGACATATGTCAAGAAAGGCTGCAGGGTGAAGGACCATGACACACACAAATGGTGGACAGAACTGGGAATGTTAAACCTGGTCCTTCATTCTGTTCTTCCTGTACCGAAGCTCCTGGAGTTGAGTCTCGTCCCTGTGGCTTTGTGGCTTTTCTCTCCTGTTGGGATGTGGCTCAGCAGAAGGTGGACGAAGACCCTGTTTATGAAAGGAAATAGTTCATAAGGCACCCTTGCATATTCTGGTTTAATCTGGACTACTTACTCGAGACAAGAAGTATATCACGAAGCAATCTGCATGGGAGAGTGCTTGGTGAGTAGCTGAGTTTTCTTAAGTGGAATATTAAATGATTTAAGCAGCATTTTAAAATTGAACCATTGGTGATGTTGCTAAGTTACTTTTGTGCTGTGGCTTGGGTCCATTTGCTGAGCTGGTCAGTTGCAGCTCTTCTGAGGTTTAGCAGCCCCAGGCTGTGATAGCAAGAATAAGAACTTGAACTGATGAACAATTCAAAAGAAGAGTGATATAAGCAAGGCCCGGTAGTCCATGCCTGTACTCCCCATCCAGGAGGCTGAGGCAGGAGGATCAGCAAGATCGTGAAGTCAGCTTGCTATAAAGAGTTCCAGGTCAGTCCTGGGCTATATAGTGAGATTCTGTCTCTAAAAAAAATGTGAAAGTAAATGGTGGGTGGCCTTGGTTTTATAGCAGAATGAATTTGGACCCATCGATGTCTGAGGACAAACTGTGAGGACACCCCTGCGCACTCCCCCAGTTGGAGTCTTACTCACCAATTGTCTTTCCACTTTTAACTTATATTGCTGAGCTTCAAATCTCCTCTGAAGATACGCAGCAGACCTGAGAAAATAAGAATGTGCCCCTTCAACATAATCTCCTCTTTGTCTGTCTGTCTGTCTCTGTCTGTTTCTCTCTGTGTGTGTCTCTCTCTCTTTCTTTCTTTCTTTCTTCCTTCCTTCCTTCCTTTCTTTTTTCTCTCTCTCTTCCTCCCTTCCTTCCTCCCTTCCTCCCTTCCCCCCCTTCCTTCCTTCTTTTCATCTTTTGTGGTGCTGGGGATTGGCACATGCTCTGATGCTCAGCTCCAGAACTCCAGCACCTGAGTAGACATTCTCACTAATCATCTCAGGTACCAATTTGATGGGTGGATTTTCTCCTCAGTGATAGAACTCATAATTCATCTGTAGTCTGAAGTTCAAAGTTACAGAATGCAACATCAGGAAAGAAAAGCTTTGGAATCAAGAGAAAAGAAAAATAAATAAAATGGTTTTTTTTTTTTTTTTTTTTTTTTTTGGTTTTTCGAGACAGGGTTTCTCTGTGCAGCTTTGCGCCTTTTCCTGGAACTCACTTGGTAGACCAGGCTGGCCTCACAGAGATCCGCCTGGCTCTGCCTCCCGAGTGCTGGGATTAAAGGCGTGCGCCACCACCGCCCGGCTAAATAAAATGTTTTTTAAAAGGAAAGAAAAATGAGTATATGAGGAGACCTGGAGCAAACACCTGGTGATAAAGATGAAGATTAGAAGCTGGGTGGTGGTGGTGCATGCCTTTAATCCCAGCACTCAGGAGGCAGAGGCAGGAGAATCTCTGTGAGTTTGATGCCTGCCTGGTCTACAGAGTGAGTTCCAGGACAGCCAGGTCTACACAGAGAAACCCTGTCTTGAAAACACACACACACACACACACACAAAGAAGAAGAAGAAATAGGTGAATATTTGAGTTTTGCAACTGCAAACCAAAAAATGGCAAAGATTGCCTAGAAATCTCCAAAAGCAGAGACGGCTCCTTGTGAGCAGACTCAGTGGGTAAGGGTGCTTGCCACCAAGCCTGGCAACCTGAGTTCAATGCCAGGGACCAACGTAGTGGAAAGAACACCAACCCTTGCAAACTGTCTTCTGACCTCCATGCACACTCATGCACACACACTAGATAGGATTAATTTTAAAATGAAGTGGGGAGCCTCAGTTAGGGATGCTGAAAAGGTTAGACAGAAAGACTCTAATCTAATGAGTTTCCTTTCTCCAGGGCAGAATTTGGTCTTTCTGACCTCAGATATGGAGAGGGGAGGGAAACAAAGCCAGACCTGGCTTCTCTCCAGCTTTGTGGGATGACTAATCCACAACTCATTGCTCCCCATTACATGGCTGCCTGTCTGCTCCGGGCACACAGAAGCTCCAGAGAGCTGGGCGTGGTCCTCCTCTTTTCCCTCTTAATGAATGAAGAGATGATGCTACACTGCTGTGGGAACATTTAAAGTGATTGCCAGCACAGCCCTGCTTAGGTCTGGTCAAATCACTGTCAGGCTTGCGCCTGCGTCCTCCCCCGCCCCCGCCCTTTCTCTCCCTCCATTGTGTAAGGCAAGGTCTCTGGGTAGCCCAGATGGACCTCAAATTCACAGTCTTCTTGCCTCGGTCTCCCAGGGGAAGGGATTACAGGGCTGCACCACCATGACTAGCTATAGTTAACTTTTTTTTAGGATGCTCAAAGCCCTGGATTAGAATCATTTAAGACCAAAAATGAAAGAATTTAAGTTTTTAAAATTTTTCCAGACCATTAATATTGACAGAAGTTCAACAACTGAAGCTGTGTCTCACAGAAAGTCAGTTGACTTTGATACTTTACACCAGTAAGAAAAGTAATGATGAAGTATTACAACATATTTTTAATAGAAAAAAACTGTTTCTAGTATTGTTATATATTTCTAGTAATAACTACATTTTAATTCTATTTACTTTATATTTTTTTAGAAAGAGTATCATGTATTCCAGGTTAGCTTCAAACTTTCTATGTAGCCAAAGATGGTCCTGAACTCCTGATTCTGCCTCTCCCTGCTGAGTGTGGGATGATAGGCATCTGTTTTCTTCCGAGCTGGGAACTAAACCCAGCTTGATCTCGTTAGGCAAGCACTCTACCAACTGAGCTTTATCCCCAGCCCTGAACAACTACTTTTGTACAAAGGAGGAATTAATGGTAACATTGTACCAAAACAATTACTCGTAATAATGACAAAGTAGTTAAATATAGTTATAGGAGCATGGATTGTCAGGTCACACATATGCTGCTTAGCTTTTTATCAACTGGACACAAACTGGGTCATCTTGAAAAAGGGAACCTTGGTTGAGAAAAATGCCTCCATCAGAATGGCCTGTGAAAATCAGGCGTTGGGGCATTTTCTTGACTGATGATTGATGTGGGCCATTCCTGGACAGGTGGTCCTGGAATGTGTCAGAAAGCAGGCTGAGCAAGCCATGGGGAGCAAGCCAGTAAGCAGCACCCCTCCATGTTCTTGTCTTCAGCTCCTGCCTGCAGGGTCCTGCCCTAACTTATCTCAGTGATGGACTGTGACAGGAACATGGAAGCCAAATAAACTCTTGCCTCCCCAAGTTGCTTTTGGCCATGGTGTTTATAAGAGCCATAGAAACACTCTTCCTGACTCACTGCTGTTTGAAAAGTAAGCATGTTTTCTAGTATGTTTGCCTTGGCCTTCATTAAAATTTAGTCTTTTCCCCCTATATTACAAACGTAGACAATGGGGTTTTTCACCTCCTTGAGCATTCTCAATCTAGATGGATACCATGTCAAAATAAACACAACAAAGAAGCTCATCGATTCTCTTTACGACCTGCTTCATTTTCAGTTTCTTCTTGCATTTCCCTACCATAGACTCCTTTGAGAGATTTTCCGCTCCTTCGAGAGATTTTCCACTCTCTGGGAGTCCAGACATGTGGCTACAGCCAGATCATGCTACTTGTACTTTCTCTTCAATAATATTCACCCCCATATACACACTGAGCACCCCAGACCTTCAGCGGATTCTTGACACCCCGATTGACTTGTTCTCCTTACTTATCACCCCCATAAAACACCAGCTGCGTTCTCTGAGTTACATCTAGGTTCTCACATGATTTTCTTTTTCTTATGTCTAAGATCAAGCTTCAGCTCCAATGGGCTTTGTAAGGTAAGTCTTAATGGGCAATCCACTTTTTCTGTTATAGCATAGACATCATCTCATGAGTGTACAGTAACTCATGATCTATCTATGAATATTCTGCTCTATCCTCCTCCTGACCCCCATCACTTCAGGTCAATGAAAATTAAGCTTTGATTTAGCCACTTCAAGCATCTCTACTAGCATGTCATGTTTTGTGAAGGTTTCCTGACTAATCAGAAGAAAGGAGCTGAGTTCCCCAGGTCACTTCAGAGATAGATATACAACTTCTTGGGGACACCCACTTCTACCCATGACTAGATGATTTCTAGCCTGTTCATACACTTATATTTTCTAACTACCCATATTCTTCATAGTTATTGGAATTTCTCCCATGAATAGCAGCAATATGTCAAAACCCATGGTATGATACACACATAATAAATGCTTTTTTTTTAACATCACACAGTTAGTGTGCTGGAATTGCAGCAAAGCTTCAGACCATCACATTTCACAGTGGTGTGGAACCCAGTCATACTTATTAATCAAATAAGGATATAGATACTCCTCTTTCTGTTTCAATGCTAAAGATTGAACCAAGGTATCATCCATGCTAGTCAAGTGCTACACCACTGAGCACCACCACTAACCCCAAGGAGTTGGGGTTTGGACTTTTTTTGGACAGGGTAGGACAAGATAACTTTGGGCTTTTCTTTTTCAGGGTCAGACATAGCTTAGGTAGGTCTAGCACTTGTGATCTTTTTGCCTCAGTTTCCCAAGTGCTGGGATCACAGGGGTGATGATGCCCTGCTAAGAATTGAATTTGGGGTGTATTATTTCATTTTTTCTGATGCTGGGATGGAACTTGGGGTATTGTGCAAGCTAGATAAGTAGTGTTCCAACAAGCTACACTCCCAGCTACCACAGATGCTCTTTGGTTACATGGTCACCTGATCCTTACCGTGGACTACCTCCCCAGTGAGTTGTAAAACGGATAGCGGCGTTCTGCACATGAGCATGGGACTGAATTCTTCTTGAATGGACCTGAAATCAAATATATGTGTCAATGACTTAGCATCCAAAATCTCCACCAAAATCTAGAGTCACCTCCAAACCTACCTCAGGATACATGTATCGGGCAATAAGAGTTTCTAAAAAAGGCCTTCTCAAAAGAGAATTAATAGATGGTCGATCCTGAGGAGACACTTTAAAGAGCTGAGGTATCAAGGACTGTAGGTCAAGAGAAAAGTGGGGTGATATCGGAGCAACACATGCTTCACAAATCTTCAGAACCAGATGGTGTAAGTTGTTACTCTCAAACTGAAAGGACAAGGATAATTATACCACATTAGAGACAAGCTGAGTACTGGTAATTAAAGTAAGAAATACACCAAGAAACAAAAGCTGGCCAGGTGGTGGCGCACACCTTTAACCCCAGCACTCGGGAGGCAGAGGCAGGCGGATCTCTGAATTCAAGGCCAGTCAGGACTATTATATAGAGAAACCTTGTCTTGGAAAGCCAAAACAAACCAACAAAAAAACAAAAGCTGTCTATCATCTATCTATCTATCTATCTATCTATCTATCTATCTATCTATCTATCTATCTATCTATCATCTACCTACCTACCTACATATCTTCTATCTACCTATCTACCTACCTTCTGTCTGTCTGTCTGTCTGTCTGTGTGTCTGTCTGTCTATTATTGTGTGTGGCATTGGCAGAGGGCCTTGAGCATGCCAGGCACTTGCTCTACCTTTGAGCTGCATCCCCAGCCTATGAATATTTCTAAGCTCCAGTCGGAAGCACTGTGCTCTGCCCCATCTTGTCGTCACCTATCTGTCATAGTAGAAACTTCAGGCAGTTACTCCAAGAGATGCTGTGCTACTTAAAACAAGATTTAAACTTTTAGTACTTTTATTTTGCTTTTGTTTTTGGTGCTACTTATTGAATGGATACGTGATCTACCTATGAACTACACCCCTAGTCCCTAATTTTAATACTAGCTTAAAAAGTTACGCCGGGCGGTGGTGGCGCATGCCTTTAATCCCAGCACTCAGGAGGCAGAGCCAGGCGGATCTCTGTGAGTTCGAGGCCAGCCTGGTCTCCAAAGCGAGTTCCAGGAAAGGCGCAAAGCTACACAGAGAAACCCTGTCTCGAAAAACCAAAAAAAAAAAAAAAAGTTTCCTTTATTTTTAATTTTTTGTTACCAAAATACCATTTACTTACACTTAAAAACTGAAAGGAGCCGGGCGGTGGTGGCGCACGCCTTTAATCCCAGCACTCGGGAGGCAGAGGCCGGCGGATCTCTGTGAGTTCGAGGCCAGCCTGGGCTACCAAGTGAGTCCCAGGAAAGGCGCAAAGCTACACAGAGAAACCCTGTCTCGAAAAACCAAAAAAAAAAAAAAAAACAAAAAAAAACAAAAAAAAAAAAAACTGAAAGGAATAGGAAGTTATAAATAGGAAAATATGTATAATTCCACAACTCAGAGGTATAATTCTGTATAATCTTTTCAAGAATGTTTATTTTATAGAGGTAATCATGCTGACAGGACATTTTACTTTTGCTTTTTGAAATACTATAACATAAATATTTACTCATAAACTCATCCACAATGAAGTCTTCCGTTGTATGAAAGAAGTACTTATTTATACATAATAATGTTGAACATGATGGTGGGGCAATGGAGTGCAGGTTTTGTTTAGATACCAACTGTGAGAACTTTCACATTAACAACAACAGTAATAATGAAGACAGCTGTATAGACAAGAGTTGGCAAGCGAGTTGTCCTTGGGAAGTCCTGCCTACAGTATTGACCTTGGTCTGAAGTCTCTGGGACCCGAGATTTGCAGAGAAATTCCACTCCTGCCTAAATGTTAAGAGTGGCTCTCTTTATCCAAGACATTTATGCAATAATATGGTTTGTTTTGAACATATGGTTTGCTTCTGGGAGCCTTGGAAGTTTTGCACATACCAGGCAATGATGCCTATGTGTCCAACTTTCAATAAAGCATGGAGACAAGGTAGCTATGTAGACCAGGCTGGCCTCTCAGTCCTCCTGCCTCCACCTCTTGGGTTTATTTTGTTGTTGGTTTTGGCTTTTTAAAGATGAGTTCTCTCTCTGTTGCTCATGCTCATCTTGAATCCCTGAGTTGACAGGACCACAGGCACATGCTACCATGCCTGGCTATCCATGTAGTTTTTAAACAATATCATAAAACCAAACATTAGTCTTTTTCTCTCAGAAGTTAATTTCCAATACATGCATTCAGTAATTCAAGATTCACACGATGATCAATATACTTACAGGATGCTTGAGTGTGCAGAGCTCATATAAGACACATCCGAGAGACCAAATATCCCTGGAGAAGAGAAGGGTTTAGATGGCCAGAAAACGGCAACAATTATTGGTAGACGTTTTTGCCTCTTACATTGCTTTGTGTTGGGATAGCTTCATTTTACTAGGTTGGCATGTTTTCACAAGTGCCTTCAGGTATATTATCAATTCTAAGATAAAAATTAAAATAAGAATCGTTTGAAGTTCTTCAGAATCCTGGCAGACAACAGGTAAGCACATGTTACTACAATATGATAGGTGAATATTTACTCCATGTACCCAAAGACAATGTGTGTACAATGGAATTGGGGGCACATTAAAGGAGCAAGGCAAGACTGCAGTACGCATTGGTTTTGATTGAAAAGATGGAAAATGGTTGGTTGAGGAAGATAAATTCTACTCAAAGCTCTTGACAGAGAAAAAGTTACAGTACATGACAGCATAGTCTCAGTGAACATTTGAAAAACATGCTTGCAATATAGGATTGAATTTTGCTCTTTCCACACTTATTTAAAAAATACTTAATGTGGTATTAAGGATTAAACCCAGGGCTTTGAGCATAAGGCAAGCACTCTCCCACCCATCCACCCCCCCAATCTCTGTTAGTAACTATAAGTATATGTTTGGCTTGAGTCATTTCAAAGAATAAAAAGGATAATTAAATCCAAAAGGCAAGAGAAACTCTGAGATGTCAAGGAGGCTGTCAAAGAGCCCTACTAAGGATCCAGCAGAGAAAAGTAAAGTGGGGCGGAGGTGTGGCTCAGTGGCAGACCACGCCACAACACAGGTAGGAGGGAACCACTTTTCTGAGGCATGATGCAGATGGTAAGGTCAGCTGGAATCACAGTTGCAGTCAGTGATAAGTTCAGAAGTACATCATCTAAGTTCACTCTCCAGTAAATAAGCAAAAACACTGAGGGATGGGGCAGCTACTAGACTTGCCCTCAGTCCTGGCTTCCTTGAGCAAAAGGATTTTCAGTCAAATAGCCAGCGAGCCCACCCTTGTTCCGGCACCAGCCATCTCATACACCCCACAAATGGCCTGAGAAGACCTCACAACAATCTTGCCGAGGTTCCTAAAGACACGGTCTGGGCTATTGAAATAGTTTGTGCTAAGTTGTTTTGCTTTATGTCAAAGCCCTAATGAACTCTAAATGATCCCACTGGAGAGATACTGGACAGGCAACTTGTGCTTAGTGCACACACGCCTTCTCCAGCTACGTAAGCAGGCTGGTCAAATTCTGATCTAGCCAGCGGAGAGCCAGCTCCTGGGCTGCCTCCTGGGTACTGCAACATCACAATAAGAGGCTTTTCTTGTTTACTTTTGTCCTCACTTTTATTAGTTTGTATTAATGTTAATAATATTTATTATATGAATATTATTATATGAATTTAATCATATTCACACATACTCATTCCTCCCAGATCCACTGCTGGGCAAAGAGTCAGTTTCCTTTTAAGTGTGACACCCTCCCTACCCCCTGTAGGCCACCCTCAAGTGAGGATACCGGTCCAGGAGTATATGGAAAGAACAAACTGGGTTCTGGCCTACTTTCCGTAGCACACGCTGAACCGGTAACAGGATGAAAGCTGCAGCAGAGACACTGTAGTGGGAGGGACACGAGAAGCCGTGGGGACAACTGGGCAGTCGATGGCCGCCCAGCCGAACTGGAGAAGCACAACGCAGCCAAGTGCTGGGCAACTGGAGAAGAGGCGGCTGGCCAGGTCAAGAGAGTGGCCAGGGCACAGGGGCTGGGGTGTGTGTGTGGCAGTGGACATAGAGATGGCAGAGAACTCAGGCTGAAGAAGGGTATAAGGAGCAGGAGAATAAAAATCAAAGATTCTGGTTGCTGCAAGAGATCTGGAGAGCCATCAAGCCTTTGGGGGCAAAGGTCCCAGACATGCCATGCTCCTGTAAGAACTGTGACAATGGCTGCTTGATATCAAGGACTGAATAATCTCACTACCTAAGCCTGCCTGAGAGCTGCAATGCCAGCTGCTGCCAGAGGCTAGGGGACCTCAACTCAGGCCAACACAAGAGTGTTTAAACACTCATAGAGATAAGAGATCTGTCCTATTCAGAGTTACTATCGCTGTGATGAAACACCATAACCAAAACCAACTCGGGGAGGAAACGGTCCTTTGGCTTACACTTCCACATCACAGTTCATCAATGAAGGAAGTCAGGACAGGAACTCAAGCAGGGCAGGAACCTGGAGGCAGGAGCTGATGCAGAGGCCTTGGAGGGGTGCTGCTTACTGACTTGTTCCTCGTGGCTTGCTCAGTCTGCTTTCTTATAGAACCCAGGACCACCAGCCCAGGGATGGCACCACCCACCACGGGCTGGGCCCTCCCTCTTCAGTCACTAGGACCCAACACCCATGGCCTGCAGAGGCACTGTGACACTAGAGAGAACCATCTGCTGCTGTGCCCACCTGCTTGCTGCTGGGGCATGCCTGCGATCCCTGCACTCAGGCAGTAGAGGCAGGAAGATCAGAAGTTCAAGGTCTTCCTCGGCTGCATGGCAAGTTCAAGGCCAGCCCAGGATATATACCTTGTCTCAGACAACAACCAAAGACCACAGAATAATGCTGCTGACCCAGGGTTCTTTGCCCGGCAGAGCAAAGTTCTACTTTCAACCACCTACCTTCTATCTAGCACTACCTACCTGTGTTATGAATGAGGCCAAATCCCTTGGGGCCAGGAAATGTCTCAAATAAATAAGTAAGCAAACAAACAAATAGCTAGGGAGATATTTTAGTTGGTAAAGTGCCCAAAGCACCAGCGTGAGGACCTGAGTTTGGGCCCCCAGAACCTGTATAAAAGCTTCATACGTTACTGTGTGTCTATAACCCCAGCACCAGACAGAGACGGCCAGATCTCTGGAGCTCGCTATCCAGCCAACCCAGCTAATTGGTAATTTCCATCCATGTTCAGTGAGAGACACTGTCTCAAAACATAAGGGAGAGAGCAATAGAGAAAGGTACCTGACATTGACCTCTGGTCTAAATACACACACACACACACACACACACACACACACACACACACACACACACACACACGAGGCAGGAAGGGAGAGGGAGAGAGACAGGGGAGTAGATCTTTAAATCACATTTAAGTTAAAATTTTTCTATTCATGTATTTTTTTTTAAAAAAAAGATTTATTCATTTTGTTTTCCGTCTGAATGATATGTCTGAATGCATATTTGTGTACCACATGTGTGCCTGGTGCCTGGTGCCTGAAGAGATCAGAAAAGGGCATTGGATACCCTGGAACTGAAGTTATATATGGTTGTGAGCCATGATATGGGTGCTGGGACCAGAACCCAGCTCCACTGAAAGAGCAGCCCGTGCTCTTAAGTGCTGAGCCGTTGCTCCAGCCCCAAGCTTAAAAGCCTGGTTGCAGGTTGTGGCTCTGTGACAGAGCACAAAAGCAAGCCTGGTTCAGGCTCCAGCACCAAATAAAAGTACCAAATTAGAGCAAGTAATTAATTAAAGCAAGCCGTTGTTGTTGTTGTTGTTTTCGAGACAAAGTTTCTCTGTGTAGCCCTGGTCGTCCTGGAACTCGCTCTGTAGACCAGGCTGGACTCTAACTCTGAGATCTGTCTGCCTCTGCCTCCCGAGTGCTGGGACTAAAATGTGTGCAGCACCACCACCTGGCTTCTTTGTATTTTTAAATGAAGAGAAATTGCTTTGTCTTAAGTAAGTCCAAACGCTTCCAGGAATATTAGTCACTGGAATTCTCCTTTCACACATGAGGAAAAGGCAAACGCGCACATGCCAGCAGAAAACAGATTAGACATCAGACTCTGCACCTCAGTGTCACCCACCAGGTTGGACTGACACTCTCCAACCAAGAGCAACTCACGTTTTGTTGTTGTATGGTCTGTTCTGACAAATCTCTGGGGACAGGTAGTAAGGTGTCCCAGCACACGTTTGAGCAAGTTCCATGGAACTAGGAAATTAGAGTAAATACAAAATAAGTTTCACTAGTAGAGTGAGAGAGACTGAAGACATGACTATGGAAGGAAAATTGTAAACGCGAACAATAAAACTGTATTCATGTGCATATTGGAAGAAAGCAAGACATTTCGTATGAACAACAGACTAACAAAGACAGAAGGTTTTTAACCTTACAGTTCAACCCCCAACCATGTGTGATGATGCACGTCTTTAATCCCAACACTTGGAAGGCAGAGGCAGGCAGATTTCTATAAGTTGGAAGCCAGCCCTGTCTATATAGTGAGTTCCAGGACAGTCAGAGATACATGGAGAGGTCCTTCTCTCAAAAAGCAAAACAAAAATCAACCCCCAAGTTTATACATACATACATACATACATACATACATACATACATACATACATACATATATAAACACACACACATCCATACTTACATGGAAATGAGAGAGAGAGAGAGAGAGAGAGAGAAAGAGAGAGAGAGAGAGAGAGAGAGAGAGAGAGAGAGAGAGAGAGAGAGAGAAAACAAGAACACAAGAAAGCCAGGCATGGTGGTCCATGAATCTGTATTTCTAGTATGGGAACATGGAGGCAGGCAGATAAGGAGTTCAAGGCCAGCCTCAGCCACATAACAAGTTAAAAACTAGCCCAGACTACATGAGACCCTATCACACACACAAAGGTACATGTGGGCTAGAAAGGTGATTAAGAGCACTTGTTCTTCCAGAGGACCCAGGTTCAGTTCTCAGCACTCACACTGTGGCACACAGCCATTCCCAACTCCAGTTCCAGGGGACCTAATGCACTCTTCTGACTCTCACAAGCACAAGACATGCTTAGGGTGTACATACATACATGCAAGCAAAATACTCATGCAAATAAAAGAATCTAAAAATATGCTAAAATGTATACACATGTCTAGATTTTTTTAATTTAAACATATCCTATGGCTAGGTATGTAAATAAGTGATTGCCCTAAATCATAGCACTGCAAAATAGTAATAATACCAATAATAATAATAATAATAGCAGTAGTAGTAGTAATTACATATATATTATGACAACTCCATAAGGACAGAATCTTTAATTAAAAATCTCTTAGGTATAATAAGATTACTGTTTTTCCAGCTATCAATGTGATACAATTGTGTATTCTAAAATTTGGAAAATACAAAAAGGAATTAGGCTGGGTGAGTACTTGGCTACCATGTGCAAGGCCCTGGGTTTAAACCCTAACACCATCAAGAAAAAAGTCAATGAATAAAAACTTAAATTTCTGAGTCTGAGTTTCCCTAAAACCTGGTGTCAAACTGAGATCCTTTTTCTTCCCATCTGCTTCCACAGTTTTGTATAGCTGTCACCATGCTGTTTTTGTAAATCACAATTCCACTTAGCTCACATCACACAGCAAAATATTTCCTTGTGATACCAAGAAGTCCACAAAACCAAGTGAGGTATTTTTATAGTATAATATATTCAGGAATATGGTTTAGCTGTTCTTTAGAGCATCTCTACTGCCATTTGATTAGTCACAATTTATCTTGAGAATTTTTTCTAGATTTTACTTTCATTGTTTGTGTGTGTGCACACATATGTGTACATGTGTGGGAGTGACCACAGAGGCCAGAAAGGAATGCCAGATGCCCTGGAGCTGGAGTTAGAGGAGACACCAGAAGTGGGTGCTGGGAACCAAACTCAGGTTCTCTGAAAGAGGAGCAAGCACTCTTAAGCTCTGACTCATCTCCGGAGCCCCACAGCTTCAGAATTTTAACCACAGACAGTCATGTGATTCAACATATTCATTCAGTCACCTAAAATTGTGGGGATAATGAAACTTTTATTATCTTAATTCACAATGCCTCAAAGTGAACACTTTGTCGATTTTAAATAGAAAGAAAGATAGAATTTTACAAGTACTTACTTATTCAGTGTCCTTGCTGTTCCAAAGTCCCCAAGCTTTGCAACCTTTCCATTCTTGCTAAGAAAGATGTTCTAAAAGTGAAGGAAAATCATGTTCAAAAAGAGAATAGGAGTCACTGTGTCTTAGGTCATCTGTCTGAGCTGTTACCTGAGACTTTATGTCCCTGTGCAGTATCTTCCTGTCGTGAATATGCTTCAGTCCTAGAGAAATCTGCACAAACCAGCCCAGGATCTGCAGAAGGGAACAGAACCAAGCTACTGAACAGTCTGCTGGTCCCTGATACAGTTTCACAGTCACATGAAAAAAAGAGGAAGAATAATAAAAATGGAGCTGGAGGTTATAACACGTTAATTTCACCTTATAGCCCAGAAAGGTGCTTCAGATATCATTAGCATTAAAGTGAAATCCATATGTAGAAAGAGAAGAATATAAGCCAAGAAGAGATGGTGGCCACGTATGGCTATCTATCTATCTATCCATCCATCCATCCATCCATCCATCCATCCATCCATCCATCCATCCATCCATCTACCTATCTATCTATCTATCTATCTATCTATCTATCTATCTATCTATCTATCTATCTATCTATCTATCCCATCCATCCATCTATCTATCTCTTTTTTTGAGACAGGGTCTTATTGTGTAGTCCTGAAAGGCCTGGAATTCCTTGTGTAAACCAGGTTGGCCTCTCACTCACAGAAATCTGCCTGCCTCTACCACTATGACCACCTGTGGGTTTTTTGTTTGTTTGTTTTTTGTTGTTGTTGTTGTTGCTGTTGTTTTCTTGTTTAACATGGGGTTTCCCAGGACAAGCACAATGCATGTCTGCTGTCTCTGTGGCCCCTGTTGACACTGATGCCACTAGGTTTTTCTTTACAATGGATGGAAGGTACCCAGGACAAACAGAAAGGAAGAAGTAGAAAACAATAGCCCTCTGGATAAGTGAGACAGTTGATGAGCCTGAACTGTTTAGGAGGCCCCCAAGCACTGGGACCAGGACCTGTCCTTGGTGTATGAGCTGGCTTTTTGGAGCCTGGGGCCTATGCTGAGACACTTTGCTCAGCCTTGGTACAGGGAGGAGGGGACTGGACCTGCCTCAACTGAATCTACCAGGCTGAGCTGAATCCCCAGGGGAGACCTTGCCTTGGAAGAGGTGGGAATGGGGGGTGGATGGGGGGGAGGCTGGGGAGTGGGAGGAGGGAGGAGAGGGGAATCTGTGGCTGATATGTAAAATTAAATTAATTATAAAATAAAAATATTTATTACAAAAAAGAAATTGTACAAGAGCCAGGTGGCGGTGGTGCACTCAGGAGGCAGAGCCAGGCAGATCTCTCTGAGTTTGAGGCCAGCCTGGACTACAGAGCAAGATCCAGGACAGGCACCAAAACTACACAGAGAAAACCTGTCTCAAAAAACCAAAAAAAAGAAAAGAAAGGAAATTGTACAAGAATGCCTATTTATATGTCTAATAGAAAACTACCAACAATTTAACTTTTAGAGGTCACCTTGCAGTTGGGGGTGCAGCTGAGCTGGTAGAATACTGCCTTCTATATATCAGACTTTGTATTCTTCCCTAGCACTGAAAAAAATGGAAGGAAAAAAAAGGCTCATTTTCTTTTCTTTTTGTGGTTTTGAATTCTAGTTTATTTCTTAGTCATAAGTATTTTATTCATTTATTTGTTTATTCATTATTTATTTTTCTGATACAGGATGCTTTCATATAGCCCTAGCTACCCTTATACTCACTGTTGTAGCACAGGCTAGCCTCGAACTTATGGTAGTCTTCCTGCCTCAGCCTCCTGATACTGGGATTTCAGGCCTTTGCCACCAGATCCAGCTCAATGTTGTATTTTATATCAGAAGGCAGGGAGCCACTTTAATAAAATGTGTTCTACACTTTTAGAAATTCATTTAAAGTACTCTAAACCCACAGGTTCTTTGTCTGCCAAGTGATATAGTAAGAAGAAAATAATATAAGATGGCCCATATTCTAGATATTAGGACTCAGTTGACATCTTGGAATTTTCCCAACAAATTTTCCCGTATATATGTATATGAAAGCGATCTAAATGGAATCACCAAACAATGAGGGGGAGAGCTTCAACTGGACTTCCCTCACCACCAAATGACACTTCCAGTACATCCAATTGAGTTGTTTGCCAAAGGAGCCCCATGGGAACACCAAAACAACCCAGGATATTGCCAAGGCTATTGGTTGTTATCCACAAACTGGTTGCAGAAGACAACACGTAGACAACTCATTGTACATGGAGATGCTGAGCTGGTGCCTACCGAGAAAGAGCCTTCCCTCCCGTGGACTAGTGTTCATGATACTGGAAGGTACTCTGCACGCTACCAGAGGAGAAAGGTAAACACCAACCAGGTAAAAAGCCTTCTATCTACAATGGTGACCTGCCTGCAAGACACAGTGGCGCAGTAGTGGCACAGAGCTTGTGGGAGCAACCACCCACTCTCTGATTGGATCTAAGGCCCACTCCGTGAGACAGAACCCACCTCCAACACTGCTTGGGTGGTCAAGTACCTAACACTAAATAAGTCAGGGACTTCCCAGCGGTGGTGGCGGTGCATGCCTGTAATCCCAGCATTCAGGAGGCAGAAGCAGGCGGATCTCTGTGAGTTCAAGGCCAGCCTGGGCTACCAAGTGAGTTCCAGGAAAGGCACAAAGCTACACAGAGAAACCCTGTCTCGAAAACCAAAAAAAAAAAAAAAAAAAAAAAAAAGGTCAGGGACTTAGGAGAAAACCAACTGCCACCACGCTGCTAGAGGAATATAGTAATAAAATGGCTCTCAACAACATTCTGCTACACTCATAGATCAGTTCCTGCCTCAGCCATCATCAGAGATGCTTCCTTCTGCAGCAGAAGGGAATAAATACAGAGCTCCACAGCCAGACAATGTGCAGAGAGTAGGAGACCTTGAAACACTCAGTCCTAAACAGGATGTCTCTATCAAATCCCTCTCCTCAGGACTCAGGGAGCTCTGCAGAAGAGGAGGCAGACAGACTGTAAGAGCCAGAGGGGATGGAGGGCATCAAGGGAACAAGGCCTTCTGAACACAGCAGGACCCATGCACATATGAACTCTCAGAGACTGAGGCAGCGTGCACCAGGCCTGCATGGATCTGCACCAGATGGGGTCCTAAAGCTAAAAGGAGAAGTGGACACACATCCCCATCCCTAACCCAGAAGCTGCCTCCAATTGATAACTACTTGCAAATGAAAAATTAGTTTTCTCCAATGGAGTCTCACTAGTTATACAAACCATTCTTAAGGGCAGGCCCCATGCCCAGCAGAAGATGGTCAACACAAAATGAACTCAATGGCGTTTTTTGGAGGTTCTTTGTCTCTTTTTTTTTAAACTTATAGGTCCTTTGCTATATTTTTGGTTATGAGCGTACCCTTTAATGGCTGAGCCATCTCCCCAGCCCAATTTTGACAATCTTAAAAGTTACATTATTACTTATTTGTGAGAAGAGGAAGGAGCACATGCCAAGGTGAGTGTATGGAGCTCAGAGGACAATCGGCAGGAACTGGTTCTCCCCTTCTATCATATGAGTTCCGGGGATTGAACTCAGGTCATCAGGCTTGATGAGAAGTGCCTCTACCCACTGAGCCACCTTTCTGGCCCCACATGGTATTTAATTTTTTATTTTAGATTTATTTATTTCACTTTATGTGTATGAGTGCTTTGTCTGCATGTATGTGAGTACGTATACCATATGCATACCTGGTACCTGTGGAGGTCTGTGGATTACCTAGAGCTAAAGTTACAGATGGTCGTGAGCCACCATGTGAATACTGGAAATTGAACCTAGGTCCTCTGTAAGAATAACAAATGTCCTGACACCCTGAGCCATGTCTCTGGCCCCATCTTCACGATTGTTTTAGACACGAAGTTCATCCTACATGACATACGTAGACAAGAGATATTTCCTCCAAAAAAATCATTCCCAAAACCAAATTCTACTTCAATTCAACTATCAAGAATGTTAATCCACGATTTTACGATTCAAATTCCCCTACCAGAAACGTGCTTTGCATAGCCTAGGATGTGGTTAGAACATTATAAATGTAACACCCCACGAACACTAGAAGTAGATTTACCTGGTCTTCACTGAATAACTCTCCCCTCTGCCTCTGGATCCTTTGCAGGAGATCCCCTCCGTCACAGTACTCCATTACAATAAACAGCCTGCTGTTCCCTGCAAGAAAACAACATCCTTTGGGCCGGAGAGCTTTTAGACACCATTTTCCTTTCAAAATCTAGAATGTGAAGAGGCTACAACAGGAAAGCGCAGTGCGTGAAGGTGCGTGTGGCCAGGGGATGGACTGGGCTCTCATCCCACTACACCACTTGCAGTTCTGGTGTGTGTGTGTTTGTCTGGCCTCGTTGATAAAGGGTTAATTCCGTGTAGTCCAGGGAGTTAACATCAGTTGTCCGCCTGACAGAGTCTAGACTCTCCTAGGAGACAAATGTCTGGGCACTTCTGTGAGGGTTTCTGGATTGGATTAATGAAGGAGAGAAGACCTGCCCTCAATGTAGAAGGCACCATCCCCAAGGTGTGGAGCCCTTAACGGAGTAAAGAGGGAGGAGTGAGCACGTGAGCATGGAATAACTGTTTGAAGCCATCAGCTCAACGCCCATTTGTTCCGCAGGAACAGAAAACAAGCACAACAGTGCAGAGATCTGGGTCTCTTTTGTTCCACATTTAGAGCGCTTGACTCTGGAACATGCTCAGCACCTAAGAGTTAATATTTACTGAGGGAAGTGATTTTGCCTTAGGAAAACATCGCTCAATTCTCCTTATTTTTCTTACGCCGCTTCAAGTTCATATAACCTCATCTTTCATACTAGCCAGCTACTTTTGAGTAAATCAAAAGGATTAGACAGGTGGGCCTGACCTGGTCACATGACTTATGTAAATCTGAGCCTGGGGGTTGGAGACAGAAGAGATTTCCAGCCCCTCCTCCTGGCCCTGTGACAGAGCACAGAATTTCACTTCTGGTAGAGAGTGGTCCCTCGCGTTACCAGCCAGCGAGAAAGTGGAAACAGACATTAGGCCGTGGCTCTTGCAGTGAGTGATGGGCTGTTGTAGGGTCAGCAAAGCCTGTCTGTACAGGGTCTCACAGTCAGGCGCCTCCAGGCTCTGAGGCTCTTCTAAGCCCTTGTTTTAAGTACCAGCAAGCTGCCAAGCAACGTAGAGGGGCAAAGGAGGTCATTTACACTGTGAAGTGCTCTTAGCTGTGCAACTGTATCCAGTGCAAGTGTCTTCAGAAATCCACCTTACACAGAATAAAATGTATACTCCAGTCTATTAAAACAGCCCAGTCCATTCACTCTTTCAGCATCTGTGTATTGAGCATCTACTATCTGCCACATGTAGAGGACCAAAGTGTATATAAAAGTCCCTAAACTCATTAATGTTTACATTTGTGTGTGTGTGTGTGTGTGTGTGTGTGTGTGTGTGTGTGTGTGTGTGTGTGAGTTGCTAGGGATCAAACTCAGAACCTCATCCACGCTATACAATTGTTCTACCACCGAGCTACATTCTCAACCCCAAAGTTTCCTACCTGAAGAAAAAAAATTAAACAAATTTGTACTAATGTATATCCACAGATCATCACACACATTAGTAGAAAAGTGCCCTGGGGAATCACTGAAGGGACAGTGACTTGAGGAAGTCTAAGGGTGAGAAGAATTCAGGTAGACAAAGGATCTCAACAATAACTGACAAGCTGAAGAAGAGAAAGATGAGAACAGTGGATAGAAATGTGGGGCACTTTATTCCCTACATGGCTTTCATTTTTACTCAGAGTTCAGGGTGTAGCTCAGAGGTAGAGCATGCACACTTGCTCAGTCCAGCTACGTGCCCTGCCCGTGAAAAGCCTCACCAGAGCCCCAAGAGTTCCTCTGAATATCATTTATTGAAAAGGGTCATACAAACAGAGCTGCTTTTAACTTAACTAATATCATACGGGTTTTGAGATAGTCACTATTGTATGACTGGTTAGCCAGGAACTCACTTTGTAGACCAGGCTGGCCTTGAACTTACAACAGTCCTTTGGCCTCTGCTCCTCCAGTGCTGGGATTACAGGACTATGAGACCATGCCTGGCCTCATAACTGCCTTAAATGCTGTGATTTCTGAACAGCAGAGAGCACAGGGCACACCATGAAAAGTTCAAGAAATAGAGGGTCTATCTATGGACTTGCTTGCTGCTGTCTACGCACCCAGTGATACTCGAGGTTAGCCCTTCTTCTCTTAGTACCTACAGCCCATGAATTACAACAACCCAGTGAGAGAGGTTGGGGTGGGATATCCCTGTCCCGTGGTGAGCTGTGGGTATCTATGATCCTGGGATACCCTCATAAACACCCAATATATTGTATACTTGCGACTGCCTGTCTCTTCCCATTGTCATGCAAACTTCCAGGACAGGGGGTTTGCACATTTCGTTCCTGCTTCAAGCCTGGTAACTAGAATGATGACTCCGCAGAATCTGTTCTGTGAAAGAATGGGCTCTAACCAGTGTACTCTTAGCTTCCAGACAAAACCGAAATAAACCATCTGAGGGGCAGGGGGCTGGATAAATGGCTCAGTTCAGAGCACTTGCTACACGAGCATGAAAACTGGGTTTCAGGTCCCCCGTAAATGCTGGGTGGGCATAGAGACCTGCCTGCAATTCCAATCCTGGGCTGCTGAGACTAACTTTAATGGTGAGCTATGAGTTCAACTGGGAGATCCTGTCTCAACACGTAAGAGAGAAAGTGATTGACACAGACTCCCAACACCAACCTGGGGCCCCTGTGTGCACACACATATGTACACACATCACACACGTGTACACACAAGAAAAACACAGACCTTAGAATGAAGCTCCTTAAAGTTCTGCTCTCCTTTTGGCAGGTTGCTGCCTCTCTGTGAGAGGATTATACAGCGCCACCTACTGTCACAGAACACAACGGACCAACTATAACCCATGACACACATCCGGTTGATCATGACCTTGTGCCTGTTGGGCTTTGTGTCCCCTCTTCCTGGTAGCTTACAAAGCGACATGCTCTGTTTCTGCAATGTCCCTTTATCCAGGACCGCAGACATCACACTCCACCGGCAGCCAGCATGGAGTGGGAATGAGAAATGGATGTGTATTACTGCAGACCACGGTGATTTGAGCGTTACCACCGCTTCATCTGGCACACCAACCATTGTCTATTTGGTAGAATAAGAATTAAGGAGATGTGCAAAAACTTATGAGAGGGAAGCCATCTATAAAAAGTCACTAGAAGGACTCAGCATGGGTGGAACACACCCATAACCTCAGCACTGGGGAGGCTGACGAAGAGGATCTGGACTTTGAGGTTATGTTCACTACACAGTGAATTGAGCCCAGCCTGGGCTACAGAAGACCCTGTCGCAAAGGACAAACCTCACAAGATAGGAAATAAAGACAAAGTTTCAGGTTACAATTTAACTACACAGGAATATGAACGTACTTACAAAATTTAATAAATACACGATTCTTGGGAACACATCTTTTCTAGAGCTCTTTAGTTTATTGGGATACTTTAATGATGGAAAAAATCTAACCTTGAAAGGCACTGAAGAAGGTTACAATGTTGGGATGCTTCATCTGAGACAGAAGAATCACTTCTTTCTGTGAAACTTCTTTTTCCTGGAAGGGCGTCAAAGGGATATTTTGAGACAATGTGTCTTGCAGAAGTAACTGACTTACAGAGGCATGCTTCCTGCTCACTGCCATCCGAAATCCCCCAAAGCCACTGGCTTCAATGTCACTTCTAAAACTTATCTCTCAAAGGCAGGGCCACTATGGAATGAGCAGAGTGCCTCCGATCTAACCATCGGCTTGTCAGTGACAATTATAATCAAGAAAATTAATAATGCTGGGGAAACATTATTGTACTGCAAGTTCGGAATTGGTTACACTTGACACATGACTGTATTCCCAGCTGCCCAGGAGGCGGAGATCATCCTGGGCAACATAGCTAGGTCCTGTTGCAAGAAGTAAATGCAAATTATAAAGAAATTAGTAACTAGATTTTCGCTCATTATCTTTATCCTCCAGCATAAGGAAATCCTTTCTAAAACATAACATTCCAAGAGCAGTCACTGCTGAGAAGAAAACTGTCATATGCTACAAAAACAGACCAGCAAGATTCCGTATTCTGCATTTCTCCATTTTAGGAAATAAGCCATACATGCCCATAATGCTAGCACTCTGGGGCAGGAGGATCCCAAATTTGAGGACACCCTGGGCTACAAAGGGAGATCCTGTCTCAAAACAAAAACAAAAACCAGTTTCTTGGGGCCAGCAAGAGGGCTTGGCAGGTAAAGGCACCTGCTGCCAAACCTGGGGACCTAAGATCTATCCCTGGAACGCACATGGTGGAAGCAGGAAAGAACTGACGCCCACAGTGGTCCTCCGACCTCCACGTGTGTGCTGGGTCACACATGCGTGCACATATGCACACCAAGTAAATAAAGAAATGTCAAAAGAAAACATCTTTTATGATTTAACTTTAGTTTTGTAACTTATTATTCTATTTGTCATCCAAGAATAATACTTTTCTACTGTTTTGGTGCCTATGCACATACCCCATGCTGTCTGTCTGTCTGTCTGTCTGTCTCTGTCTCTCTGGAGGAGGTGTGCCTCTCTAGGTAACTCGGGCTGGCCTGGAACTGATGGTTCTCTTGCCTTAGCCTCCCGAGTGCTGGGCTACCTTCCTCCTCTTCCCCCTTCCATTTTTCTTCTGCTGCAGCTTGAACAAGGTAAGCACACCCTCCGCCACCGAAACAGCCCAGACGGCATTTTATAATTGACATTCTCAACCCCTGCTTCTAACCTAAGATCCAATGTCACATGCCTCATTCTAAACGGCATGATCAGAACGGGAATTTCAGATTTTAAAATGCTTTTGCCTCTCTCCTGACGGCTTGGTAAGTTTGACTACTTCTAAAAATGTAGCTACCAGGGTGGCAGAGATAGATGGAAGGAGAGGGGCAGAGAGAGAGAGGAGAGAGAGAATGAGAACATGAAATTAGGTGGGTAGGGAGATGGGGAGGATCTGGGAGGGGCGGGGGAGAGGAAATAGGATAAAAATGTTTTGTTTTGTTTTTTTGTTTTATTATTTTTTATTTGTTTTGTCATTTTTTTAATTTATTTAAATATGTGCCTTGGTGTGAAGATGTCCGATCTCATGAAACTGGAGTTACAGACAGCTGGGAGCTGCCATGTGGGTGCTGGAATCGAACCTGGGTCCTCCGGAAGAGCAGCCAGTGCTCTTAACTTCTGAGCCTGTCGTTTTGTTTTGAGGCAGAGTTTTGTCATGTAGCCCTGGATGGCCTTAAACTCACTATGTAGACCAGGCTGGCCTTAAACTTAGAGAGATCTCCTGCCTTTGCCTCCTAAGTTTTGGAGTTTAAGGCATGTGTCACCATGCCTAGCTTATTGTTTTGTTTCTTGAGACAGGGTCTCACTCTGTCACCTAGGCTGGCCTCAAACTTACAGCAATCCTCTTGTCTCAGTCTCCCAAATTCTGAGATTGTAAACTACACAGATTCTTGAGTTGGAACTTACAATATTTTTTTTATTTTATGTCTGTTTTTTTTTCTTTTTTTTCAGAGCTGAGGACCGAACCCAGGGCTCTACCACTGAGCTAAATGCCTAACCCCTCTTTTTTTTTATTTTAATGAAGAAAGGCTGAATGTTAAGAAATTAACGTTCAATTTATCAAGTTAGCAAAAGAGAAAATAGGAGTCTAAATGAAAGGAAATAGAAAAATAACGATATGTTGGCTGTGGTACTGAGACTAACTCCCAAAAAACAAGAAACAAAAGAAACCCCCCCACAGCTTCTATTCACATCACACTCTTCCTCCTTCCCCTCTTCCTTCTTTTTTTTTTGGTTTTTCTTCACCCTAGGGTCTAGTCTAGTGCATGCTAAGAAAGTGCTCTGCCGCCAAGTGGTGGTGCACACCCCTTTAATCCCAGCACTCTGGAGGCAGAGGCAGGCAGATCTCTGTGAGTTCGAGGCCAGCCTGGGCTACAGAGTGAGATCCAGGAAAGGCTCCAAAACTACACAGAGAAACCCTGTCTTGAAAAACAAAAACACTCACACACAAAAAAGTGCTCTACCATTGAGACACATCCCAATATTCTTTTTGCTTTTTGTTTTTATTTTTTATTTTTGTTTTATTTTATTTTTGGGGGGTGGAGCAAGGGCAAGCAAGCAAGAGAAGCAGGAAAGCAGGGGACAAGAGAGGGTGTTTCAGCAGGAGTGGGTTTTTTTCTTTTTGGTTTTTCGAGACAGGGTTTCTCTGTGTAGCTTTGCGCCTTTCCTGGAACTCACTTGGTAGCCCAAGCTGGCCTCGAACTCACAGAGATCCGCCTGGCTCTGCCTCCCGAGTGCTGGGATTAAAGGCGTGAGCCACCACCGTCCGGCAGGAGTGGGTTTTTAAGGGAAAAGTGGGGGGGAGTCTATGCTAGGGTGAGCTGGTAAATCCTGATTGGACATATTAGCCAAATAATGAACTTCAATTGTTGGACCTTGGTGTTTTGTCCCAGGAATGAGTCAGTGGCCAAATAAGGGAGTGGACCTTGGGGGCTAGCTTTAGGAATGTAATGGTTTTTAGCAAGGGAGCGGGGAAGGGTAAAGGGCAAAACCTGTCTACAATGTTTGCCGCGCTCAGACCTGTGTCTGCCACGCTCGGGCTGTGTTTGCCACGCTGGGGCTGTGTTTGCCATGCTCGGCCTGTGTCTGCCATGCTCGGCCTGTGTCTGCCACGCTCGACCTGTGTCTGCCACGCTCGGGCTGTGTCTGCCACACTCGGGCTGAGTCTGCCATGCTCGGTCTGTGTTTGCCATGCTCGGGCTGTGTTTGCCATACTCGGGCCTGTTGGAGCCCCTTCACAGACCCCTTATAGATGGTTGGGAGCCACCACGTGGTTGCTGGGAATTGAACTCAAGACCTCTGGAAGAGCAGCCAGCACTCCTAACCACTGAGCCACCTCTCCAGCCTCTGCTTGTTATTTCTGAGACAGAGTCTCAGCAGGCTGTGTGGGCTGGCCTTGAACTCTCTGGTAGCCCAGACAGGCTGTGAACGTCTTCCTTCCTCAGTCCCTGGAGTAGCTGGAATTACAGGTGTATGCCATCGGGCCAAGAAGTTTGATTTTTATGAAGTCAACCTAGCCATCTTTTCCTTTAGACCTTACAGGGGGAGTTTGGGGCCACGGCTGGGGCACTGGTAAAATGAGCTATGTGGAAACTGGACTTGGGAGAATGCCAGCAAAGGACCAGGTGACCCGATGCACTGACAAAAGGGGGGAAGCTAAGCCACAGTGGAGAGTCGGGACTTATCTGGAGGCGGATCCCTGAAACCTACGTGGGAAGCTGTCCTCTGACCTCCCTCCACATGTGCGCTGCGGTGTGTGTGCGTGCACATGTGCACTGTGGTGTGTGTGTGTGTGTGCCAATGTGTGCTGTGGTGTGTGTGCGTGCACATGTGCACTGTGGTGTGTGTGTGTGTGTGCCAATGTGTGCTGTGGTGTGTGTGCAAATGTGCGCTGTGGTGTGTGTGCAAATGTGTGCTGTGGTGTGTGTGTGTGTGTGCACATGTGTGCTGTGGTGTGTGTGTGCACATGTGTGCTGTGGTGTGTGTGTGTGCAAATGTGTGCTGTTGTGTGTGTGGGCACATGTGCGCTGTGGTGTGTGTGTAAATGTGTGCTGTGGTGTGTGTGTGCACATGTGTGCTGTGGTGTGTGTGTGCACATGTGTGTTGTGGTGTGTGTGTTCCTGCACGTGTGCTGTGGTGTGTGTGTGTGTGCACATGTGTGCTGTGGTGTGTGTGTCTGTACACGTGCAAGCACACATACACACCCTGAAATAAATTAAAAATAAATTTTTTGAGACAGGATCTCTCTACATAGCCCTGGCTGTCCTTGTATTTACTATGTAGCCCAGGCTAGCCTTCAGCTCACAGAAATCCACCTGCCTCTGCCTCTGGAGTGCTGGGATTAAAGGTGTGCACCATTATGTACAGTCTAAATAATTTTTTTTAAAGAAAGGAGTGGTAACTTGGCATGATGGTGCACACCTGTAACCCCAGCAGTAGGGAGACAGAGGCAGGAGGAGTCTAAGTCTGAGACTAGCTTGTCTACCTATCTAATCTAGACCCTGCCTCAAAAAAAAAGAAAGAAAGAAAGAAAGAAAGAGGAAAGAACAGAAAAGAAAGAAAGAAAGAGAGAGAGAGAGAGAGAGAGAGAGAGAGAGAGAAAGAAAGAAAGAAAGAAAGAAAGAAAGAAAGAAAGAAAGAAAGAAAGAAAGAAAGAAAGGAAAGAACCGAAAAGAAAGAAAGAAAGAGAGGAGAGGGAGAGATGGAGGGAGGAGGGGCAAGAGGGAGGAGGAGGGGAGGAAGGGAAAGACAATATAAAGCACAGAGGTGGGTGGGTCAGCCAGGGATTCAGCCATCACAGCGCGTGCGCAGCGTGATGACAAGTCCTTTGTTCAATGGGGTGGGGAGCGGGGAACCAAGAAAATGGATGCAACATATGTTCTTGGATTGGATTTCTAGCGTATGAAAGCAGAGTCCACTGAACCTGAAAATTCATAACTGTGAAAAAGGTGTTTGTTTTCATACTGGATTGACAATGTGGGGGCTGGAGGGACGGCTCAGCACTTACTGCTCGTGAAGAAGGCCCAGGTTCAGTTCTTAACACCCAGATCAGGTGACTCACAACTGCCTGCAAACCAAGTTCCAGGGCACCCAATGCCCTCTGCAGACACTTGCACTCACATAAACTCATGCAAGCACGCATACATATAATATATATATATAATATTTTTAAAGCTAAATATACCACTTAAAATTATCAAAAGTTTGAACTTCTTAACTTTACCTTTGTAAAATTGATCTCTTTTATGACGCAGTGATTGCCTTCTGTTTTATTTTTTGCCAAGTATACTTTCCCAAAGGTGCCTTCCCCGATGATCTTAATCAGGTCAAATTTATCCATTGTTTCGGAGGCCAGAGGTCCCTAAAATGAAGTAATAAACCTTTACTGTACACTTCTCATGACAACTAACGAGCAGACGATGGATAAAATGCAAAGGAACTGTTTGCTAAAACTTTCCACGCAGCTTTTCAGAGTCCCGAAATTTCCTTATGGCCACAGGTACCGTGGTGAAAAGGGTTTGGTTGGTAGAGTCCGAGGTCGCTCTGGATTGCAGCTCAGCTTTGTGACCTTAGACGAGTCGCCACCTCATAAACCTTTCTTCTCTAGCTTCTAAAATGGAAAACGACCCGTGTTTGAAGGAAAGACACCTCGTTGCAGATGCTTGGTGCCTCTAAAAAGCTGGAAGTCAAGGCCGGGGCAAGCACCCTTCATGTCTCAGTGGGAGGTACTGCCCTCTACAGGGAAGCCTGGGAATTTTTTCTGTCCGTGTTTGGGGGGCGTCTAGAGATATGGAGGCATTATGGTAGTTAAGATGAAGTTAGGGCCTGGGGTACTAGTTTTGCCATTCAAAGGTCGTTGGTCCCACACAACAAGGGATGACCACAGAGTCTCTGCATACACATACATAAGTGGAAAACCCCATTCATAGTTATCTGACTCCAGAACCCAACCATCACACGTCTAAGTATATCTCCATGGCATTAACTAGTGCTGGATTTCCTAAGAATATAAATCAAGCCGGGCGGTGGTGGGAGGCAGAGCTAGGCGGATCTCTGTGAGTTCGAGGCCAACCTGGGCTACAGAATGAGTTCCAGGAAAGGCGCAAAGCTACACAGAGAAACCCTGTCTCGAGAAAAAAAAAGAAAAAAGAAAAAAGAAAAGACTATAAATCAAGGCTTGGTTGGGTCTGGGGACTTTCCCACTAGTTGTGTGCCAATATGGAAAAACACCCGGTCTACGGGCTAGGGAGCTGCAGTCGGTGGGAGGTCCAGAGTTCTAGCAACAGGTGACTGTCCCGGCCCCTGGCTGCAGGTGTTTACAGGTGGAAATATATACTTTGTTGTAGATTGCTTTCCTTCTTTTCCCCTTTTATGCCACAGTTAGGGCATAATGGAGGTTTTTATTTTGCTGTACTGGGAATGGAACCCAGGAGCACATACATGCTAGGTAAGCATTCAACCACTGAGCTTTTGGGGGACTATTACTGAAACTGATCTAAGTAGTTCAGGTACGCCTTAAGTTTGCCATCCTCCTGCTTCAGACACAAGGTTTTAAAACTCTGGGTGGTCTACTGGGCAGGTTGTTTTCAAATTTCAAGTCAGGTGGATACTAGGTTGTCAGCGGGAGGCTGTGATCAGCATGTGGGAGGGGGATGGAGTTCAGGACTTTGTAGCTTGTAAGTTGCCATGGAAACTGACGCAGCCCAGGGAGCAGGCTCCGTAGCCGCTGCTCTGTCTCCTCCCGCCTGGACTCCCCATCTCTCTCCCTTGCCTTAGAGAGACCTAGGACAGCTCCTGAAGAACAAGCCCGGTGGGCTCAGCCTACCTGCTCAGTGGGCAGTGAGTCTTAAGTGTCCGGGTGGATCTGGCCCCTGGCAGCAAAGCCTCCGGGGACGCTGGAGCTGGGCCACCTCCGGGAAAGTGGGCGGAGCGCTGGGCGGGGGCAGAGGAGATCCATGGGCACTCCTTCCAGTTGCCCGAGGTGGGAAGCCATACATAAAACAAGCAACCAGAAAACATCTCCACACTCCTGTGCTGTGAGAAGTAAAGTCAGAGGAGGAAAACGAGAAGACAGAGTTGACCTCAAAGCGGAAGAAGCACACTTTTATTTAGAGAGATTGGCAACCTGCAGCTTTGGTATCTGAGGGTGCAGAAGGCGGCAGTTCGAGGTCTGAGATTTGGTTTTGGTAGTAAGAGAGTAGGGAGCAGGGAGAAACCGCTTTGGGGGCAAACTTTTCCAGAACTGTGGGGTGGGCGATCAGTCAGATTGCCTCGTTGCAATCTTCGGGTTCCAGGGTGTGTGATGGGGTTGGCTATTTTCCAGACTTCTATGGGAGGCTTTTTTTTTTTTTTTTTTTTTTTTGAAGCTTTATACCCATTTTTTGGGCTGGCTTTTTCTGCGCGGGAATGGGAGAGTTTCTTTGGTGTAGTTGGTATATATATATTCTCTGCTGCCTGCCACCTACAGAGGTTTCTGATGAGTAAGCAATGCTGAGAGGAAACGTTGGTTTGGTTGTCGGGGGAGGTGGTGGCGAAGGTGCCTAGGGTCCCATACACACTAAGCAGTGTTTAACGGTGATATATACTCCCAGGAGGAAGCAGGTTTCTCACGCAAGGTCTCAAATACTGCTGAGGGGTGTATTAAAGGAATCCTAGTCCACAAACAAAGCCAGGTACTGCCCAGGGGTCTGCAAACGCCCTTCTCAACCTAGCGCCATGTCATATAAGTACATCAAGGTGTAGACCTGTGGAAAAATATACCACTTTCAAAATGGTAAATACTAACACAAGGAAGACAGTCATATCCAGCGGAATCTAAGTCTCATGACCATTTCTTATCCCACCCTTGTCTATGACCCACCCCCCCCCGCCCCCCCCCCCCCCGCCCCCCCAAACAAAGCTCACTTCTCCAAAAACGTACATTACTCCTTTTCCTCCTCTATCTGCATCCTACTTCCTGGGTCAGAATTTTATAGCAACATGATCTTTTCAATGCTTAAAGTTCTTGTTGGTCACCATAGTTCTGAAAGAAGCATGTAGATGGAAATTAGCATTTCCTGCCCATAGGACCTAAAGTGTTGTGGGGGTTTTGTTTTGTTAGTTTTTTGTAACAGGGTCTCACTATGCACCCCTGGCCAGCCTGGAACTCAAAGGTCCAGATGCCTGCCTCCACCTCCCTGCTGAAACTAAAGAGGTGTGCCACACCCAATTCTCTCTCTTTTTAAAAGCTGTCAGGGCTGGCAAATCTCACCCAAATAAGCAAACGCATGAAAGTTTGGTTTAAAGTGGAAATCCCCTGATTTTCAAGAGGATTTATAATTTGACTCTTCAGTGGTTATTAGATATTATTATGCACGTAATTTTGAGTTTGTCTGATGGATTGTAATGTTTGTGCCTAGTGATTAGAGCAGATAAGGAGATGTGGAAGATGGCATATATGGAAGTTGAATGTCTTAGAAATATTCTTGTAACTATTCACACCTTCATGAACACAAAAGATCACCAGAAAAGTGGTGAGCTAATGTTCAAGGGACTGACCTAGGAAGGGTAAAGCCAACAACAGAAGCCATACACAAGCTCTGCACTCTAGCTGCTAATCTGTTCCTCCCAGCAGCGAGGGTTAACAGTTTGGACACTGCTTTGTATGTGTACTGGTCTCAACAACTAAATAGATGGCTGCAATCTGTGTTTCTCACTGACAAAGAAAACAGAAATATAAAAAGAACAAGAGGTAAAGTCTGAATTAACCTTATGGGATTGGATTAGTCACTGACTTCAGTGTGAGGCTGTGCTTGACTTAATATACAGAGAGATGGGGGTGCACAGAACACAGGTATGTAGACAGGACTCAGAAATGCCAGGAGCAACCAGCACACTCAGCACCCAGATATTGGCTTTAAAACAATGTGAGGAACCGTGACTTCTTGCGGGGGGAGGGATCCTGTTGATTCTGGGACTGGAACAGGGAAGGTACAGATTGATCCTACTTTATCTAATTTAATCTAGTAATTTAAAAATGTAGTAATTTAAAAGGACAAGAACATCACAAAGTACACAGAAACCAACTGGACACAATTAAGCAACCTAACCAGCGACTTAGTGTAACATTACACTCTTTGCTCTAACAGAGGTAGACTGTGAATCCTCTCAGCGCCAGTGGGACCGTTAGTGACAGTGACCGGAACAGGGACAGGAAGTTTGTACCTATGATGAGAAGCCCAGCAGATACTGAGTTAACTACTGATAGAGGTAAGCAGCATTCGTGGCACACCGTGCTGACATTATATATGATGAGGACAGGGCTTACCTTTGTGAAGAACACCAGACACACCCAAATTGAGGATGAAAACAAAATACCTAACCAGCACTCCCCAAAAACAGCAAGGGAAGACAGGGAAATTGCCAGAGATCACAGGAGGCTCACACTGACCACAAGACTGAGCACAAGGAGACACACAGGTCAGGTGAGGATTTGCACAGCCTTTGCATGTTAAGATAGACAGAAGCTGGGCTGTGGTGTGGCTGCCTTGCATTCATAAGGTCCTGGGTTTGATCCCCAGCACTGAAAAAAAGGGAGGAAAGTTAAGTTGTTAAAAGCTACTTATAGTCCATATTTCAGCAGATCCTAGTAAATGACTGGACTATAATTTCTACCCACTCTTCATCATACGGAGTCAGGAGAAGTCAGTTTCTTCACTGGGGAAAGATTCTCCCTTCCCTAAAGTGTCACAGCATTAAACGAGGTAACACATGACGGGTCCAGGATCCAGCACGGATGTGCATGGTGCCCCACGTCATTCCATGGCACTGGCTAGTTTCTGACATTCATCACATCTCTTTGGCTGTGGTCCTGCCTTGGGTCCAGGACTACAATCTTCTGGGAAGTTCTAGAGCGCACCCATTCATCTCATGGCTGATCCCCTGACCTATGAGGAACATTTAAAAACAGCTGCTAGTTGGTAGAGATCCCTGGAAATCATCTTGAAGCATCCCCAATCTGGGTATTATTGAAAAATAGCACACATTAAATGTCACAATTTAATATATTTAGATCCTTAACCCTTTAGGAAAGGTGAGAGTGTTACATAGTAACCGTGGATAAAAACACATGGATTTCTATAACTGTCTTGGTTCCTATGAGGTAGGCATTGTTATTCTCATTGTATAGTTGAGAAAATTCGGGATCGAAGAAGTTAGGTAATTTCCTATTATCACACACAGAGTAGCCAGCAGGCTAGCAGTCCACCGGAATGCAAGGCACACAGCATCTCTAGACCTCCCTTGTGTTAGAAAACTCACAAGGGCTCTGGGTTGTTTTTTAAGCTTGTGGTACATTTCCTGTCTTCATTTCGTTTCCGGTCATCAGCATTTCCCCCACAGGCTCAGGCACGTTCTCCGAGGAGTTTCCCATCACACATGTCCTGCCATCCCACTTGCTTCTGGAGCTCTGACACCCAATCAGGGTTTTCATCATCTTCCTCAAAGTCCCTGTGAAAAAACAGTTTGGATGATAAGCCTCTGTATCAGGGGATGCTTTGTACTTCTTGATGGGTTCAATGCAGAATTCTACCATATATGTATACTATTTAAATTTTTGAAAACTCAATTCCATAAGGAAATTGAGTAGAGATAAAATGTTAGTTCTCCCCCAAAAGATGTCACTTAATATTTTTAAGATTAATGTTTAAAAAAAACCCTAATGCATTATAAAATGAAAGCCAGATATATTTGCACACACATCTAATCCTAACACCCAAAAGCTGATGCAGGAGGAGTCTAAGTGTCTTGAAACTCAGAAACAAAGACAGGTCTGGGCTGAAAAAACACTATGTACAGCATTCAGCCAGGAATTCATAGTAAAATGTTAGTACTGCCCACCATACAAGAGCAAACAGAAGTACTTGTTTAAGATGGAAAGTAGTATAGCTATTTCTAAATCTGAAATTATTGTGGTATGATACGGCATGTGCATACAGGCTCCATTCCCCAATTAGAGCAGTCTAGGTCTATTACAACATACGTGTCTTCTTCATCCAGCCGTGGTTCAAATCTCTCTGGATCCAAAATGACAGACTCAAGATCACCATCGACACTGTCTGATGTTGTTTCTTCAGAAAGGGGACCTTTCAAGAATCCTTCTGTACCTTCAGGGGAATAGCAACAGAAAGAATGACAGTTTACCTGTTTGTTTTTAAATGGGGTCTCACTACATTGCTCAGGCTGCTATTGATCTCCTGGGCTGCTCTTCATCACAGGCCCAGATGTTAGGACTACAGACCAGAGCCAAAGAGCCTGGAGAAGCCAGTCAATTTAAACATTTACTCATCACAATTTGGGCAGACAACAGACCCAGGAAGTAGCAGAATGTGGATTAAGTTTTAAAGCAACACTTTCTCCAAGATAGGGGGGAAAATACACTAAAAATTTCTAATATAAGAAATCTATATTATGGTCTGAGCAATTTGGAGAGATTCTGTCTCAAAACAAATAATAAAAAAGAGCTAAGTAGTTAGCTCAAGGCCTTATGCATACTAGCACATGCAGACAGAGCACATCACTGCTGGGCTAGACACCAGCTCTCTTTTTCTTTTTATCATAATCTATATTAGCCACTCAATAGACATTCATCAAATAAACAAATATAACTCAGTCTTTTGCAACACCATCAAAAACTGCCATGCCATTATAGGCCCTACTTGATATGATTCATCTCAGATTTTAAGTAAGCAGGGAGGGGAGGTGGGACAGGGGGATGGGAGGAGTGGAAGGAGGGGAGGCTGCAGTCAGGATGCATTGTATGAGAGAAGAATAAATAAAAACACGTAAAATAAGCAAAAGTTAGCATTTGAATTATCTAAGTTATATGCATACATATGCAATCCTTAAATGCAGTTCTCTGGCCTGAAGACCTAAGGACAATATTATAAATGGTTGTTCTGT